TTTTTTTTTTTTTTTTTTTTTTTTTTTTTATTTATTTTTTTTTTTAATTTATTTTTTAATTTAAATAAAAAATATAAAAATTAAAAATTAAAAGTTAAAAAGTTACATAAATTTATCATCAATTTTCTGAATTTAATATTGAAATATTAAATTTCTTATTTACAGTTGGAATTATATTTTTAATTGAGAAATAATTCAGTTTATTTCGTACCCTTTCATATCAAACTCAAGTCATAACATATCTATCATTTATCATCTTTAAGGATTAATTAGTCAAATATTATCCTTAATTTTTTCAAAATCTCGTTTAATAACATATATTAATATATAAAAAAACTAACTTTCAAAAACCTTATTGAAACAATTGAGTTATATAATTCCTATCCTCATATAAAGTAGTAACAACACAGTCATTCCTTTTATCAAATAAGTTCATCTTAAGAAGAAAATTTTCACATTCATTCGTTTCTTTGTTTTTAATCCGAATTAAATAATAAAATTATTCAAAATTGTATTAATTCTTAAATCCACCTTCAATAACTGTTTTATTTCAATTTAGACTTTTCCGAAAATAATTCGATTCGAAAACAGAGGGTTTCATCAAAAACTTTATTTCAAAAGCTTCTTTCAATCACCAATCATACAACGAAAGAAAGCATACTTTTAGCCTAGAACAAAAGAAATTTTTCCAACTATAAATACCCCAGATATATAAATTAAATTTGTATAATAACGTATACAACCGACGTTTACAAAACGGCTATTGATTCTGATACTGAAACTCACTCGTCATTGATCAAAATTGTCAAGTTATCCCATACATCTTTCATATATCATCAAAGTTTTAGTAGAAATCCATCGTAAACTGAAAATTGACAAAGGCTTTCAAATCACAACAAATTTAACTCGTACCTTTGTTCAAGCTTCGAAAAAGTCAAAGTAGTTTAGCCTTATTATTTCCGATTTATTTTTCACTACATAATTCACAAATTTTTAAGGTTTTACAATTATCACCTACGAAGTTCATAAATCCATAAATTTGAGTTCAGGCGAGGGAAGGAAAGTTTAATTTGAATTTTACAAGAGAAACAACCGGAAAACTGTACCCTGATTGTTAAAAAGAAATTTAGATTTCGGTTTTTTACTTGGTCATATTGTCACTGCAACCTCAAAATTTTTCAGTTTTTGTACACCTTTTGTATTTGAGTTTAATTGACAGGACGTTAAAAACCAAACAAAAAGGGTTCATATTTAATCTCAGGATATTCCAAATTTATTTAAAAGATCTAAATATTTTTTAATGCTTCAATTGATCTAAGTTTCATCTAAAAAATATTATTTTAAATTAATCCTTTAATTGAAAAAGTCAAAATAAAATAAAAGAAAACAGATTAAACTAAAAAAATATTTTTATTGCAAATAGTTTTTGAAATATTATAAGATTGATTCAGGACAAAGTTTATTTTTCAAAACGGTTAGTAAATTGATTAAGTCCGATATTCAAATATTTGTCACTAGCATGGGAATCGAAAATGATAAATTAGTTAACGATCATGATGATCAAAAAAGTAAAAATATTAATCCAAACTTAGGCGGTTTTTCATCTACAAATGATCCTAAAAAATTATTACCACCTTTAGGTGTAAAATCTGATCAACAAGACCAACTACAAGATCTACAACAAACACATCTACAACAGCAAACACAACTACCACAAGCTTATGATTATAATTCACAACAACCATCAATGTATTCAGCTTATCAACAAACGAGTTTTGATCCATATTTGCAACAAAGGAGTTTAGGTCAACCTCAAAGCTCTTTTAATCAAATACCTCAATATACTCAACAACAATATCAAAATAATGCAAAATTCGGTGGTGGATCCAATATACGATACCAATATCCATCAAATTTATCTGGAGCACCAATAACAAATCCAACCTCATCCACTTCAACACAATCATCTACATCAAATAATCATAATGATTTAAATCTTGGACATACTTCAAAAGAAAACAATAAAGGAAGAAGATTCAGAAGACGATATAATCAAATTAATAGAAGATTTCCATGTTCATATCCAAATTGTATGAAAAGTTATGGATCACTAAATCATTTAAATACTCATATTGTTTCTAAAAAGCATGGACATCGTAAAGCTAAAGCTGATTTTCAAAATCCTTCACGACCACCTAAAGATGATGAGCATAATTATAATCAAACTTCACCTCAACTGCAACATCAATCTACAAACTTAATGAATCTACAACAGCAGCAACAACAACAACAACAACAACAACCCCCACAACAACAACAACAACAACAGCAACAATCACAACCACCACAACAACAACAATATGTGACAAATGATTACTCAGGTGCGGCTTATTGGTATGGTTATGCACCACCAAATTTAAGACCTACCAATACAATGGTAACGAATGATTCATTTGGTTTAAATAATCAAATTCCACCACAACAAACAACAACAAACATGTATTATCAAGGATATCAACCAATGACATCAGCTGGAGCATTATCAAATAACACACAACAACCACAACATCAGAATCAAAATCAAAATCAACCACAAGCACAACAACAAGGTTCAAATCTACAACAGCAACAACAACAAATACAACCTCAATATTATCAACAAACACAACAACAATCACCTCAACAACATATGCAACAGAACTTGTATCAACAAGGTCAATACCAATCATCCTCACATTATCCTCAACAACAACAACCACAACAACAACTGCCACAATGAGTAGCAATTCCTAGTTTTTCAACAAAAAAAAAAAGGAATCACATAACAATTACACAGAAAAAAGTTGATTTTTCATAATGCTTTTCACAATTTTTATATTTTAATTTTCCACAAATGTTTTCATATTTTCAAATTTATATATAAAAAGGTTTGAAAATAAGATTTTTCATTAATTATGTACTTTTACTTATAATATTTATACATCTCATCAATATATATGCCCCAAAATTATAAAAATTAATAGAATTGAAATATTTGTAGTAATTGTCTCAAAAAATTCTGAAATTTTGCAATTTTTACTAGATAATTATATGAAACTTTCCAATTTTTTTTTTTGTCATTATTATGTAGAAATGGTTTAATAATATGATACAGAAATATGGTCAGAGAAATCAAACGGATATAGCAATCCTCAATTTCTATAATTCATTACTTACGTTTACAAATGCAATAGATAATTATGTCCAGATTACAAAATATCACCTAAATAAATTAATGGTAAAACATTGTTTGGACGCAAAGAATCTGTTAATTTTGTAAAAAATTTGGTTTCAAAAATGTTTACAAATCGTAAATTTGGAAATAAGAAATATAGAGCATCATATTTATGAAGCAACCCTTCAATAGTCATCAAATAAAATAGACCATTTTGTAATGATCCAAAAAGATCAGATTTCATCTCAAATAAAAATGGTGATACGAGAGGAGTTTCTTCTTGCAATACAATGATTCTGATCCAATCGATGATGTCAGTAGGTAGATCTCTTTTGATAATTTTTTTACACACACAAAATCATTCATTTCAGTATCAAGGTTCAATTTACGAGAAATCTTTTATTCATCAGTTTTCTAAAGCATTATTCAACTGAACATTGATGTATTCTAAATCATTATCTTTGACTTGCTCTTTCAATTGAATTGATTCATGGTTTGATTAGCGTGAACTTAGGTTGATATGATGAAACTGTTGATTGAATTTTATGTTGGTATCAGCCTCGTACGACTCATTGAATTCGATTTGGCGTACCTGGACTGTATACAATTCTTTAATTTTTTGCTGATTGTATCACTATTAAAAATTACGATTGATTCGAATCAAAAAACGATCATACATTTTGTACTATTGATTACTTTACTTCAAATAATTCAAGGGGAACGTTGATTGATTAAGTCAATTGAGTGCTCCATCATACAAACTAAGATGAAAGAAGGAGATGAAGATGATATAGTTTCTAATAATAGTGCTGAAGAAAATCCAAAACGTGAAAATTCAGGTACTGAAGACCTAGCAAAAGATGATCAAACACTGTCAAAAGATTTGAAAACACCAGCCACTTCAACGAAAGAGTTTGATGAAAAACAAAATGAAAATGGAGTTGATTTTAGGGAAGATAATGTCACAAATGCCAATCAAGAACAAACGCAGGCGAATGACGAAACAATAATGGACAATAAGAAAGAAATAATGCAAGAACATAATCCAGGTCTAGATAATACCAAACCTAATGGGTCTGCAAATGAGTCTACTTTTGAATCTAGTGTTAACTTAGAGGCATCAACACCTTCTTCTCCATCCCAACAACAAGATCAACCCACCAAACCAAAAAAACGATTGACTTTACAAGAAAGGTTGGCACTCGCGGCAAAGGGGAAGAAGAAATCTAGTAAGCAACCCCAACAGACGTCTGAAACATCTACACCATCTCCGGTTATACTATCACAAAATGCAAGTACGGAAGATATACCAACCGTAGAACCAGTTGCGAACGAAGAAGAGGAAGGAAAGTTTAATCAACAAAAGGTGATCGAAGATGTTAATCTATACAAAAATGAAATAGCAAAATTAAAATCAGAGAATAAGAGTTTACTAGAACAAATTACAAATTCAAAATCCCAAACGTTCGATAAAGATTTTTCTAAAATCATCAAAAATAAAGACGAGCAAATAGAACAATTGTTAAAAGAAGGCGAAGCATTATCACACAAGGAACTTAAACTTAGTGAATCGATTAAAAAATTGAAAACCATTAATTCAAACTTGGAATATAATCTATCAGAACTAATGAAAAAAAATGATGATTCACTAATTAAACATAAGGAAATAGACGATTTTTTAAAAAATAATAAATTGAAAAATAATCAACATTTATTTGATAAATTCAAAGAAATAAATGACAAATTAGAAAGCACCATTCAAAAAAATGAAATATTAAAAAATATAGAGAATAAATATAACGAATTAATCAAACTTAATGAAGAAACTAATGAGTCCAAAAGTCAAATTACTCGAGAATTAAGTAATTTAAAAATAGAACATGATATGATGAAAAAGCAGCAAGAATTAGAACTTAGTTCAAACAACGATATTATAAAAAATCAAAAATTGGAAATGAATGAATTAAAACAGAGCTATAACGAAGAATTGAGAAGGCTAGAGGATAAGATAGAAAATCTAAGAATGAATAGCTCGACAACATCTAAAAACTACGATACACAAGAATCAATAGGTTATGAAGAATTCAAAAAATTATCAGAAACTCATCATAATTTACAAAAACAATACTTATCATCTCAAGAAAATTTTAAATTAATTGAATCCAATTTAAATATGAAAATCGATACCTTATCATCATCATTGGAATCTTATAAAAAATCAAAGACAAAATTAAACAATGATTCAGTCAAATCAAATCAAATCATAACAAATTATCAAAGAGATATAAAGTTACTACGAGACGATATTTCAAAATACAAAGCTGAAATTAATGATTTAAATGTTACGTTAAAATTAAAAACAAACGAAAATCAAGAATTAAATGAAAAATTAGATAAATTCAAATCCATGCATAATACAGAAATTAATAAATTAAATTCACAAATTGATTCATTGAACGAAACAATAGAATCATTAAGGAAAAGACCTGAACCATTAAAACTTGATCAAAGAAACAGAGACAATTCGATGGGATCAGGATTAAGTTGGAATGATATAAGACTAGGTGAATCATCAACTACTCCGGCAATTCATCGAGATTATCCAATGTTTGAATCACAATCTTCGTTCACCGAAGTTGAAGAAGATGATGAACAAGAGAATAATTTTGATCAACTTTCATATATGCATCATAATTCAAGTCAAAATAATACAACTACAAACAGTCATAATGGATATGGTGGGAACAATGGAAGTATCCCCTTAACATTACAAAATAATGGAAATAATTTACAATTAATTAATAAAATGAGTTCAAATATAAGAAGATTAGAAATTGAATTAAATACAATGAAAGATGAATATTTAAAATTAATGAATGATAAACAACAATTGGAAGAAAATTTATTAGATAATATTTCAAAATTAGAAAATATGGATAAATTAAAAGATCAAATTAAAGAACTTGAAATTGAAATTGAAAATAAATCTAAAAAAGAACAAACAATGTTAGAATTAATTGGCGAAAAATCTGAACAAAATGAAGAATTAAAAAATGATGTTTTAGATTTAAAAGAATTATTAAAAAGTCAAGTACAACAAATAGTTGAACTTCAAGGATTATAACTTCATAGAGATTAATGCATATGTAATATCCAGGATGAGTTACTAACTCACAATAATAACACAATTCTCTAAAAAGTAGTACATACAGTATCTACTCTTTTCTCTTAAATTGGTTTACTTATTGAAATCAAGTTTCGTATTTAATTTTGTGTCACAAAATATCCAAATAACTTAATGATACTACACAAAAATAAAATCTGATATGAGATGGTCTCTTTTTGTAAAGATCACCAACAAAACATGTCAAAAAAAGAAGATAAAACAAAATCAAGTAAGAAAAGAAAATTAGAAGATGACGCGGAGGAACTTGAGATAGATCTTAGTGCCGAAACTCCACTTTCCAAGAAACAAAAACGTTTAATTAAAAAGGGAAAACTTGAAAAAAGACCAGAACCAAAAATTAAAACTGTACAAGAAGAAGAAGAAGAAGCTAAAAAAGCCAATGAAAAGTCAGAAAAGTCCAAATTTGGAGTATGGATTGGTAATTTATCATTTGATACAACTAAAGAAGATCTAATTAGATTTATAATTGGTAAAACAAATTTAAAAGAAGATATAATAACAAGAGTAAATATACCAAAAAAGGGAAATCAAATAAAAGGATTTGCATATATAGATGTTCAAAATGAAGATCAAGTAAATGAAATTATAGAATTAAGTGAACAGCATTTAAATGGTAGAAATTTATTAATTAAAAATGTAACATCGTTTGAAGGTAGACCAGAAAAAGATGAACAAAAATCAAACTCAATATCATCATTACCACCAAGTAAAATATTATTTGTTGGAAATCTAAGTTTCGATACTTCTGAAGATAATTTAAAAGAACATTTTCAACATTGTGGAGATATTTCAAGAATTAGAATGGCAACTTTTCAAGATACTGGTAAATGTAAAGGTTTTGCATTTATTGATTTTAAAAATGAAAAAAGTTCAATAAATGCAATGAATTCAAAAGTAGCAAAAATGTTACTTAATAGAAAATTAAGATTAGAATATGGTGAAGATAGATCAAAAAGAAGGCCTAAAAGTCATATGAGAGATGAATCATCAGAATCAACAGATTCATCAAGAGAAGTAAGTCTGTACGGAGAAGACAATACATATAACTCCATATCACAAAGTCATAATCAAAATCAAGTTCCAATACCGCATCCACAACCTAAAAAGATATATAGAGAAAGACAAGAAAAACCACAACAAAGACCAAAATCATCAGTTGCTTTAGCTTCAGCACAAAGAGCAAGTGCAGCAATAGTTCCTTCATCAGGTAAAAAAATTACATTTGATTAAGAATAAATTTAAGATTAACATTAAAAATAGAATGAATATATTTGATTAAATTAAACAATATTGATTTTAGAAATTATTACAAACGGTAAATGAAAAATGAAATAAACAACTTTTTTTTTTTTTTTTTTTTTTTTTAATTTTCTTAAGATTTTTTGATCTTATTGTTTCGACATATGAAAAAACTGAATAACTACATTTAAGCAATTTCTTCAATTAAAGTAACTTTATCTTCCAAATTCTTATGTTTTTTATATTCAGCTTCACTAATTTCAAAATAATCTGGATTATTTTTATGAGCTTCATATTCTGCATCAGATATGATTTCATAAACTGATTGAACTTCCCATGATGCATCATCACGACGTGGAGTTGATGATAACCCAGATGATGATGCTTTGGTGTTTGATCCAATATCTCTTGCACTTACTCCTCCAATAGTTTGATCACCTTTTGGTGCAAGACCAGCAGCGGTACCGACAGCGGCACCAGTAGCAGCACCAGCACCAGTACTTACATCTTTGCTTTTTGATTGATCTTTACCATAATTAGGAATTGATTCCTCTGGATCTGAGTAAAGTTGATCTACCTTTTTCTGGGAATAATCTTTAGCATCATCATTATAACTAAAAAATTCAGCAGATCCAGGACCTTTAGAAGCGTCTTTACTCTTTGCACCAGCAGCAACACCGCCAACAGCAGCACCTGTAGCAGCTCCAGTACTAACATCTTTGCTTTTAGATTGATCTTTGCCATAATTAGGAATTGATTCTTCAGGGTTTGAATAAAGTTGATCTATCCTTTTAGTAGAATAATCTTTAGCAGGATCATCATTACTGAAAAATTCAGCTGATCCGGGACCTTTATCTGATTTAACATCTTTACTCTTTTGTTGTTGATCTTTACTAAAATTTGGAATTGATTCTTTTGGATCTGAATATAATTGACCAATTTTCTGTTTAGAATAATCATCAGCATCATCATTGTAACTGAAAAATTGAGCAGATCCAGCACCTACACCTGCACCAGTAACTGCACCAGCTGCAAGACCTTTTCCTACATTTTTACTACTGGTATTTTCATCTTTTTCTTCTGTAGTTGGTTGTGCTGGTTGTTGAGTTTGTTTTGCTTCAGTAGATGGTACAACTTCTTTCTTTTTTGGATTAAAATCAGAATCATGAGCAGATTCGAGACCAACTGCTCCTGAACCACCTAAGGCTTCAAAATTGGTAGATTTTTTATTAGCCTTGGCATTGGCTGTAGTAGCAGCAGAAGCAGCAGCAGCTTTTTCATCTAATGCCTTTTGTTTTTGTTTATCAATTTTAGATATAGCTCTTTCTCTTTCACTAATTAAACCATCTAATTCAGAAGATTTTGGATCTTCTCCAGAATAAGTAGCTCTTTCTTCTCTTAATTGTTTAATTTTTTTTAAATTAACAATTTCATCTTCTAATCTTTGTTTTTGAGAATCTTGATATTTAGTTTCATCACCTTCATAATTTCCCTTTTTATAAAGATTATCATGTTTATTTCTTTCTTCTTCTAATGATTTTTGTTTAGCTTCTCTATCTTTTATAGCTGATGTAACTGATGCTTCTTTTCTCTGTTTTTCTTTTAATTCTTTTGCTTTTACTTCTTCTTCTTTGGCTCTTTGTTCTTCTTCAATTTTTCTTTGTCTTTCCAATTCTTCTTCTCTAGCTTGTCTTTCTTTTTCTTCAGCTTCTTCTTTAGCTTTTCTTTCTTTTTCTTCTTGAGCTAATCTTTCTTCTTCTTCCTTTTGTCTTTGTCTTTCTAATTCTTCTTGATGTTTTCTTGTTTCATATTCTTGAGTAGCTTGAACTCTTTGTTTTTCATGTTCTCTTGCTGCTTCTTGAGCTAATTGATCTTTTTCATTTTGCCAATCAGTAAACTTTTGTTTAGCATCAGTTAATCTTTGACTTCTTTGTTCTTTATCAGATTTCAAATCAGATAATTTTGCACCATAAGCACCAAGAACTGCACCTAATGCTCCAACTTCAGCAGTTAAATGTTTATGAGTTGATTTCTTATCATCAAGATCTTTCTCATATTGAGTTACTTTATCATTTAATTCCTTAGTGTGAACTTCATTTGAATCAATAGCTTTTTCTTCAGTCTCATATTTATTTTTAAGTTCATCTAATTTAATTTTATTTTCATTTAATTCAGAAGTTAACTTTTCAATTTCATTTGATAATTCAGAATTTTTATTATCTAACTCGACTTTTTTATCTTGTAATTCTTCAATTTCTTGAGTAGTTTTTTCTTGATTAGTTTTGGAATCTTCTAATTCTTGTTTCTTTGTAGCTAATAATTCTTCATGATTTTTTTCAAGAGTTTCTTTATCAGTCTTATGTTGTTCAACTGCTTTCTTTTCACGATCCTCGAAATCTTTCTTTGCTTTTTCAATTTCCTTTTTGGTTTGTTTTTCAAAATTTTCAGCTGTAGTAATTGAAGTTTTTTTCAGTTTCTCAATATTGTCTAATTTACGTTTAATTTCTTGATCAAAAGTCTTTTGTTTCCCACTAACTTTAGCAGCGTATTTCTCAAATTCACCTTTTAATTTAACTTCATGTTTTCTAACTTTTTGATCCAATATAGCTTGTTTTTTAATTTCATCTTCTTGTCTAGTTTTAGAAACTTCTTGATTAATAGATGTAATAACAGGTGCCACTCTTTTTGCTGCTATATCTAATAATTGTTGTTGAGTCATTCTTAAACCTGAACCTAATTCAACTACTTTTTTTGGATCATCAATATCATTTGCAATTGATCCAATTGCATCAGCATTTAATTCTTTATAATGTCTTAATAAAACTGGTTTATCTTTAAGTTTTTCTAAAGTTTCTTTGTTTGGTAATTCAACAGGTTCATATTTAGCTTGAGGTTGAGTAACTAATTCCACAGGATGTTCTTTAATGAATTTTTCAATATTATCATCACCTTTAAGTTCATCTTGAACTTTTTCTGAATTTTCTTTAATGTCTTTTTTAGTGTCTGCAATGATTTTATTCGCTTCTTCTTCATGTTTATCTGCTTCTTTTTCATATTGTTCTGCTTCAGTTGGTTTTGTTGATGTCGTAGTGGTACCGATAGGACCATCTGTAATTAATTTTTCTTTTGAATTATCTTCTAAACTTTGTTCTTTTGCTTCAGCAGCATTTGGAGTATTTGTGGATCCATCAGTTAATAATTTTTCTTCTGGTTCATCTGTTAATAACTTTTCTTGCGATTCATCTGTTAATAATTTTTCTTGTGGCTCGTCGGTTAACAATTTTTCCTTTGGTTCATCAGTTATTAATTTTTCTCTTGGTTCATCAGTTAATAACTTTTCTTTAGAATTATCTTCTAATTTTCTCTCTTCTGCTTCACCATTGGTTTTCTGTTTAGGTTCATCAGTAATTAATTTCTCCTTAGATTTATCATCAAGTTCTTTTTCAACAGCTTTTGCTGAACCTGCTGGTTTGCTTTTGGTGGTAGTTGTGGTAGTTGTGGTTGTTGATTTTGTTGTATTTTTATTCTTTTTAGCTGAGGCTTCTGCTTGTTTTTTCTTTTTAGCTTCAGCTTCTAAAGTTGGATGATGAGCAAATTTAGCAGGAACTTTTATATGTTCCATTTTATTACCATCTCTAAACTGTTGATATAAATTTGATTTTTTTTTAGATGATTGAGTTTCATCATCATTATTTGAATTTCTAAAAGGTGATATCCAATTTGAACCACTAGTTAATTGTTTTAATCTACTTTGAGGTTGATTCTTAGAATCAATTGTTGATTCTGACATTTAAATAATTTAAATTATGAATTAATGAAATCGAGTGAACTAATGATTGATAAGAAACAATTGATTAAATTGGTTGTAAAAGAAATAAATGTAATTGATATAAGTAAATAAATTTACAATTCTTAATTAATTCAATTGTTGAAATATTATATTAAAGATAAATTTGCTTTTTAAAGATTAAATAGAATTAATATAGAAGAACTTAAATTTAATATGAAATAATTTAATATGAAATTTCCCATAATAAATAATTTTGAACCGCACGGCCAATTTAGCTTGCAATTATGTGAGTTTATTTTCGATAACTATGTAATTATAGTACTAATGATTATAATAGCAATAATTAAGAAATTTTGATCATTAAGATCTAATTAGTGATGATAAAGGGGGTAACATCTTTTAAAGGGAGTAAGAGATCGTGGTAGTAGATTTCGATTTCATGAACTATACATTCACTATTGGATTGATACACCTAATTTAATCAATTTAGTAGGTATATCGTCTGAACTCATATATTAATGATTATTACGTACTTACTATGTTTTAGTTTGCTATATACAATTTAATGTATGATAGAGTATTTTGATTATTTCCAAATTGGTAATATTTATAAATCTTTTAGGAGATTAAGTAATTTAACATTTAAAGTATGTTTATTACACAAACAAATGATTACTACGTAGAAAAGATTACATAATACATAAGGTGACAATTAGGTAATGAAAACATGGTGTGTGAGATATGTCAATAAGATTAGATTAAATCTCTGATGGAATCTGAACTACTACAAAGGTAGAGAAGTTACTAATTACATTATATTCCAACAGTATAAGGAGATTCCTGTTTGAGCAACTCGGGTGAGTAGAAGAATTTTGTCATTTAAATACTTGTTGCGGACGATAATCTTGGATGCAAAAATTACAGTTTTGTTTCAGAATATATACGAATATTTATTGATAAATTGTGGTTCATACATATTTCAATGTTTTTGAACTCGCAAAGTTACTTATTAGTTATATAAAACTGATTATAGAATTTTTATAAAATTGTAAAGCCTTACACAAAATCTGAAACGGTTGCAAATTTTAAAACTTATATTAATTAGTGTAATATTTATTTAAATTTGTTAATATAATATTCTACGATCTAATATAAAATCTAAATAATTCAGATCTAAGTTAATTAATCATTATAGTTATTAAAACCTGGATCATTTGTTCTTTTTGGTCCATCTTTTTCATTAATTTCATTTAATGCTTCAAAATCTTCATTTGATAATGTAAAAGTTTCTAAATTTGATTTAATTCTTTCTTCATGAACAGATTTTGGTATAACAATTGAATTTCTTTGAACAGCCCATGAAATTAATACTTGAGCTGGTTCAACTTTATTTTTTTCAGCAATTTTTATAACAGTTTCGTTTTTAAATAATGGTGAATCATCTGAACCTAATGGCGAATATGCAGTGATATAAATATCTTTACTTTTTAAATACGAAACTAATTGAGGTTGAGTTAATAATGGATGAGCTTCAATTTGATTTATAACTGGTACAACATCAACTCCTTCTGAATCTAATAATTTTTGTAATTTTTTTTCAGTAAAATTTGATACACCAATAGCTTTTACTTTTTTACCTTCTTTATAAATTTTTTGTAATTTTTTCCAAGTTTCAACATAATCTTCATGTTTAGTTGGTTCATCATCTTCTGAATCTGTATTTACTGGCCAATGAACTAAATAAAGATCAACATAATCTAATTTTAATTTTTTTAATGATTCATCTAATGCTTCTTCAACTTTATCATGGTCAGTATTCCATAATTTAGTAGTTACAAAAATATCTTCTCTTGGAATTTTTGATTCAGCAATAGCTTTTCCAACTCCTTCCTCATTTCCATAAGCACTTGCTGTATCAATATGATGATATGAATTTTCAAGTGCTAATTTTGTAGCTTTGTAAGCATCTTCTGGACTTGATCTCCATGTTCCAAGACCAATTGCTGGGATTTCAACACCATTATTTAATTTATATTTTTTTGTATTAACTTTTAATTCAACCATTTTTAATTTCTATATTTATTTAAGTAAAAATGGATTTGTAAGATAAAAATTGAATTTAAAATGGAAACCTTGTAGGCTATTTATATTAGCATTTTGAAAGGCTAACACAGCAATCCAAGTGTGGTTTTTAATATATAAGAACCCATTAGTATTGTATAGCAAAGTAAAGTTGTTTTAGATCAATCGTTTGTGAGACATTTTGATTAAAATCCACAATAGCAATAAAATAAATCTAAATTTAAATTTGTAATTCGAACTCCGTGAAAATTTCAATTTTTCAAAGGGGATTCTCTGAAATTTAAGACTATTAATAAAAAATCATTCTCTCAAACCATGAAGTGAATTGTTCCCAATATTAAGCAATATATCCACATTTTTGAATCATAAATATGTTGCGGTTTGAAACTTAACATTAAAGCTTTGGTCCTAAAAAAATGAAATTCAAAAAGCTACCATTTCGTAAATTTTATCAAATTTCCATTTTGTTGCAATCACTACAATTCCATTACTTATTGTTTTAGAATCATAACTACGTAATCACTGTCGCTTCTGTAATATGCTTCTACAAGTATGAGAGAAAAATCACATCAATTTTCATTATCAGAAAGTTCTAGTTCTCAACATCGTCCATTATCTAAACAACCTACAAGAGCAGCTTCTATTCCAGTTCATACTGCCATTTCATTTGACGATTATGTTCATTATGCTGCACCAAAATCCTCAAATATAAAATCATTATATCCACCTGCAGCTGTCACACTTGGTAGGAATGCGTTTGATAGATTTGGTGATCAAATTTCTGATTTTGAAGTAATATCAAGTAATGGAGATAGAATACCTGTTTCAATGGCAGTTTTATTAAAAAGATGGGGTAAATATTTTGCATTATTACTTGCTAGAAGTTATGTTTTAGCAGCTGAAGATTTCGAAGCAGGTCTTACATCAAAATTAACTGGTGAATGGGCAAAACTTAGAAATGAATCTTCAGATAATTTACCGAGTAAAAATTTTGGTGAAATACCCCATTTTAGAATTCCGTTTCAAGATTCAAAAGAATCTTTAGATAAACCAGTCACTACAAAATCAGAATCAACAAGAAAAACAAGTATGCCTCAAACTCATGAATTACCACCTCAACCTCCATTACCTAATGAACCATTACCACCAGTTCCTCAACAAACAACATTTAAAAGTACATCAAGAGCAGGTTCTCAAGATCATAGTTCCCCTAGAGCTTCATTGATGCATACTTTATCGGTGTTGCGAAATATTCCAACAACTGGTAAATCACCTAGAGAATCACCATTTTCATCTCCGAGAGCTTCTTATTCAGCTCAAGGTAGTGGGACATCAAGTGATCTACGAAGTTCACCTTTTCCAAATCTTCGACCAAATATTGGTCGATCGACATCTGAACTTAAACTTTCTTCTGTGGGATCTGGTATAAGCACACAACAAAGTGAAGAAACTAATCATAGATCAGGAGTGGAAGATAATCATGAAGATGAAAATGAAGAAGAAGATGAAGTAGGTAGTCTAGATTCAGAATATGAATCTGAAGAATTAATAACTGAAAAAAAATCATATCCAATGGAACCAGCATTAATACCGAGAAAATTATACATACCATTCTCAACAAATAGTGTTAAAGTATTTTGTGAATTTTTATATACTGGACAATTAGGTCATAAATGTTCATTATCTCCAACTTTATTAGATAATTTTATGATATCCAAATTTTACAAAATTCCAATACTTTATGAATCGATTTTGGATATATTAATAAATATTATAAAAAGAAGAGAAGATGAAGTTTTAAAAAATATAAATTCAGAAATTAGATTAAAATATGATGAATTTATTTATTTTTTAAATAAAGGAGAAATTAAAAAGGAAATCTTGGAAAAATTTTCAAATTTAAATAACGTGGAAGATAATGTATATGATGAAAAAAATTCAAATGAAAATGATAAAGATTCAATAAATTTAGCTTATTTAGAATCAGAAAATTTATCAATACCAATAATTGGACCAAGATTTAAATCAGTATTTGATAGATCTTCATCTTTAAAAGATCAAACAATTGATGATAACAATTTTGAAAATGATGAACAAAGTAATAAGACTAAATTAAATTTAATTACAATTGAAGAATTGGTTGATCCAAATTCTTCAATACCTATTAGTGATGATGTAATGCAAGCTATTTTAAATGCTGCTATATTAGTTAATGAAATGAAAATAATCTTAAGAGTTAATATTTGTGAATTAATCACTAAAAAAGGTTTTATGTTATAAAAATCAGTAAGAAAAACGTATTGGTGCATCATAAAAGTCGAAAATTTGTTAATGTTACTAAAAGTTTATAGCATTATAATTATCTAACGTTATAATTTTACCAACGATTACCTCCTCTACCACCTTCCATACGATCTCCATAAGAACTATTTCCTTGATTTCCATAACCAAAATTACCACTTGGTCCATTGTTATCATATCTATTTTGTGTATTATTTTCCATTCTTTGTCCAACATCAGTATTCCAATTACTATTGTGTCTACCACTATTATCACCATATCTTCCTTGAGTAGTATCATTTTCCATTCTTTGACCAACATCTGTTCCCCAATTGGTATTATGTTTATTTTCATGATGTTTATGACTACTTGATCCAAAAAATCCTGAACCTGAACCTGAGTTAGAATTATCTCCATAGTTATCATTTCTTCCACCATAGTTATCGTTTCTACCACCATAATTATCATTTCTACCACCCCCATAATTGTCATTTCTTCCACCATAGTTATCATTTCTTCTATTATCATAATCATTAAATCCTCCTTGATTACCACCATAATTTCCACCTTGTGATCCATAATTACCTTGTTGTCCATAACCTCCTTGATTACCACCTTGTTGACCATAACCACCACCTTGTTGATTATTATGATTTTTACCTTCATGATCTTTCCAATATTCTCCAACTGCTCCAACAATTGATCCTAAAGTTGATGATTGTTTACCGCCACTATTTTGATTTGAATTATTATGATTTCCTCCAAATGCAGCACTTGCTAATGATCCTAAAACTGAACCACCACCACTTTGATTAGAATTGTTATTTCCTCCAAGTGCAGCTCCTGCTAATGATCCTAAAAGACTTCTATCACCTTGCTCATTAGTATTTTGATTGTTGTTATCATTTCTTTGGTTTCCTTGATTGTATGAACCTTGTTCACCTGATGAATAATATTCGTTATTTGACATATTAGTAGTTTTAATCCTAGTGCTTTATTAATTTGATCTTTCTTTAATTCCAGTTAATTGGATCAATTGATGTAAATATTTTGTTTCGTCTGAAATTTGAAATCATATTTATATAATAACAAAATTAATTACGAAGTATTTGCTAATCGTACTTACTACTTACTAAATTTCATTTGCTCCCTTGATGGAGAAAAATCACAAAAGTGGTATCGAATTAATTAACGTTGTAAAATAATATTGAGTTACTTGAAATGTCAGGAGAAGTCACACGTTTTTTGTATGAATTTACATTTATGTTGAATCACATCATCTTAGTAAGTTAAGAATTATAAAATCTTAAATTGCTTGACAAAGGAAAAAGCAGCAAAGTTTTAAATTGCTGGACCAAATTACTGTTGAAACAACTTTCTTGTCGAAGCAAAATTTTATAAATCAGTAGATCTTTCGTTCCAGGTTATTGAATTATTCGATTTATTTGATTCAATTTTGTTACGAAATAATAATGTAAGTTTACGTCATAATCAATGAATGTTACAAAACTTTAATCAGTGTCACAAATACTTTTTGTCACTTAATTTTAGCGACAATGATTTTATGTTTTTTTTTATTGTTTACTTTTTTATGTTTCAAGTCACTAGTACTAAATTGATAACAGTTATTAATTTAAAACGGTTGTAGAAATTCCAAGTCAATATCAGAGAACTTTTTCATGCAATCAAATGGCACTGCAAATAAGAATGTTAAAAGTCAGAAGGAAAATATAACATCAAACTATTTAATCAAACCAAGGGAGGAAAGAGATCTTGAAGAATTATATCCTGATTTAGATGAAAATTCACTACTACCTGTATATATAATCAATAATGAAACTCAATCCAACTTAGGAGAACTACAAGATCAAGCACAATCAAATCAAATATCCATTCCAAAAAATGATCATTTAAAAGCTCCAGTATTTGAAAAAATTCAACCTATAATACCCAACCCTAATATCAAATTTAATAGACAACTTCAAGAATATGGTTTTCAAGAACCAATAAAAACAATTGAAAAAAACATACAAAACACGTACATACGACCGTTTCAACTACCTTTAAATGCAATTAAATCATCAAATGATATAGAAACATTAATCCAACAATTTTTAGATAAGAAAAAATTATTAGTTGATTATGATATGGATGAACAAGATTATTTATTTTTAAAAGATCGTAATTCAAATCATAAAAATATTATAAAAATAACACCAGAAATATTTGAAATTTTAATAAGTTTATTAGAAAATGAATGGAAATATTTAGAAGATCAAATGAAATTAATTAATAATTCTTTAAATAATCTGTTAAATAATGATTTAAATAATCAAAAAATTTTAACTATTGGTCATAATAATTCAAAATATGGAAATGATGATGGAATTGTTCCAGGTTCAATATATGATCAAAGATGTGCAGTATGTAATGATAGTGATTGTGATAATACTAATGCTATAGTATTTTGTGATGGATGTGATATAGCTGTGCATCAAGAATGCTATGGAGTTGCTTTTATACCTGAAGGTCAATGGTTATGCCGAAAATGTATGATTAATAAAAATAAAACAATTCAATGTATTTTTTGTCCAAGTACAACTGGAGCTTTTAAACAATCAGATAGTAGTTTATGGAGTCATGTTGTATGTGCTTTATGGATTAATGAATTGTATTTTGCAAATCCAATTTATATGGAACCTATAGAAGGTATTGAAAATATACCTAAAAGTAGGTGGAAATTAACTTGTTATATTTGTAAACAAAGAACTGGTGCTTGTATACAATGTGCTGGAAGAAATTGTTTTCAAGCTTATCATGTTACATGTGCTAAAAGAGCTGGACTTCAAATGGATATGACAAAGGGAGTTAAGGGAGCAATTAATGATAAATCAACAATTAGATCTTTTTGTGAAAAACATGGTTCAACTACAAATTCTAATGCTGTTTTAGAAGGTATATATAAAACAAGACAATATTTCAAAGATACAAAGGTATTAAATGAACAGAATGAGAGAATTAGTAGTAATGAAAAAGTAGCAAATAAATTAAACATTTTTAAATGGCAAACTGAACAAAGTACTCCCATAGCTCCAAAATTATTTAGTGATAAATTAATTGAAATAATGTATGAATTAAAAGTTGAAAATCAAATTAGTTTACCAGAAGAATCAACAAATCAAGTATTAGGGTTAAAAGTATTACCAAATAGAACAAAAGAACAAACTTTTAAAGATTTACAAAATATTTCAAATGAAATTTGTAGATATTGGTGTTTAAAACGGGAATCAAAGAATGGAGCTCCATTAGTTTCAAAAAATAATAATTTAATATCTGCTAGTTCTATATTATATAATTCATCAAATAATTTAGAAATTGAAACTAATAATGATAATAATATTGATAATAATAAAAATAATGAATTACAATTAATGAATGAAAAACTTGAATTTGCAAATACTTTAGTTGATGATTTAAATAAATTAATAACAATTAATTCAATGACTGTTGAAAGACAAAATTTATTTAAAGATGAAATTAAATTAGATTTAGAATGTTTAGAAATTGAAAATTTTCCCATTAGTAAAAAAATTGAAGAAATTTTAAATAAATTAAATTTTAGATTTGATAATACTCAAATAATTTTAAATTATCAACCAAAAAATAATAATATAAATTCATTGAAACAAATAGTTGAAAAAAATTTAAAATTTAAATACAAATCCATTGATGAATTTTCAAAAGATATAAATGATTTATCAAATTCAATCAGTTTTGAGAATAAATCAAATTCCAAATTTTTTAAAAAATGGAAAAATTGGAAAAGGGCATTTGATAATGAATTGTATGATTATAAAGAAGTTTTAAAAGATAATGATTTAAGTGAAATTGAAATTGATGAAATTGAATTAAATCATGAAAATAAAATAATGTTTAATAATTTTTTGAAAAATGGTTAATTTAAAAATTGAAATCAAGTAATAAATGAGTTAATTATAGTTTTCCATCTTCGTTACTTTTGGAGATAGGTTTGTAGAAGAAGAATAGTACATACTTAAATAGGACATTAATCTAAGATACTTGCAAACTACATCCTTTCGTTTTTGTAGAATATTGCCGTACGATTAAAAGTGAATAACAACCTCTTGAAGATAAAGATAATCTAGAATTGGTTTTGCATCAAAGACTTACATTGTTTCAATATAAAACAAAAGCGAAGGAAACATTAGCCTAATATCAATATTTTGTGATTTGGTGTACCTTAAAGATGGGAACATTAATTTTTAACATTATGCATGATTTAAACGGCAAAAATTAATTAACTCGTCAAACCAATTATAATAAACAATTAATATTTTAAAAAACAAATTTACGTCAAATAAACACATTTATAATAACTTATATTTTTTTCATGCTTAGAGTGTTATATATTATTGTTTTTGACTTAATTCATCAAAATAGGAGTAACTTTGATTGTTTGCCACATAGTTTGTTCTGAATCGGTTCGTACGTTAGTTTATCCTATTTCGGTTTTAATATTGGACTGTATCGATATTATCTTTGATTCTACAATTTGAATCTAGCAAAAATATTGATTGTTTAACAACCAATCGAGATACGATAGAGATTTAGATCGAGATCTATGCAGGTTTAATAATAAAAAGTTCAGTGTACTCACAATTTATATTCAACTGGTGACGAAAATCGCCCACATCTGTGGAAATTAAGAATCGAAAAACAAAATCCAAAATGTTTAAACACCTCAAAACTTTACCGATATAAGTATTATTGGAATAGAAGGTACTTTTTAAAAATTAATTCTAGACCATTTTAAACGGGTAGTGTACATTCCAAAATATTTTAAGGTACCAATTTTTCAAAAAGATCAATTAAACGTAAAATCAAAACAATGCAGAAGAAAGTAAAATAAATTGAAACACGCCTTTTTTCTTTTGTTGATTCTCAAGTAATAATGATTGATAATGACTATAATGAAAACTAGCAACAATAGAGAATAAGATTTGTGTTTTAGTATGTGTAGATTCTTTTTAAACTCGTTTATTATATTATATTGATATTGATTGAATTATCCTCAATTGATTAGCCTATAACAATGATAAAATAAAATAATATGCAAGGCACGAAAATTTAAGAAATTTAAAAAATTAAAAAATAAACATAAAAAAAATAAATATTTTAATTTGATTTGGAAATTAATTTACTTTAAATTTATAATAATCTCCTCTTTTCTTTTCAATTTCTGTTATCAATCAAATGAATAAAAAATCATAATTTAAACTCAAATTTCACTACTTTCACACATCAATTCAAAGCACATATCCACCACAACAATTTGACTAACTCTTATACATTCATTAACTTTTTTATATATATATACTTTCACTTACTCACCCTTATACGTTCATTACTACAACTATCATTAACTTTTTAACAATTTCAAAAACTTTATACTAATCAACTTTATTCATCGATATCTTCAATGGAATCTCAAACAAGAACAAACTTAGTGACTCCATTGAACCCCAGTCATATTCCCTCGTTTCAACAATATTCAATTCTTGATAAATTTGAAAAACAATTTCAAGAAGATGTTCAAATAGAAGAGCAAATTCTTAGTCAAGCTTATCACCAACCAGACTTTGAGCAACAAAAGCTGAAAGAAACTCATGGAACTTTACATAATAATAATAGTAAATTACCATTAATTGTTGATGTTGCTCTTGATCCAAATGGTAATCAATTATATCAAATACATGAATCTTCAAATTCTACTAGAAAAGAAATGCCAAAATCAACTAATTTTTCTGAAAATCCTGAATTACATAGTGAATTAACCGTTTCTATTGAGGAAGATCAGAAGCAACCCAAAATAGATTCGAATTCTACTACTCATAATGAACGCATCGACAACCAAAATCCATCTGACTTTGTTGAAAACATTTGGTCAAACGATGTTGAAGAAGCTTTTAAAGAAGCATTAAATATAATCCCAAAAAATGGTCTCACAAAGATTAAAATAGCAGGAAGATCATGCGGTAGGAATGAATTAATTTCAGATTATATTAAATGTAGAACAGGTAAATCAAGAACTAGAAAACAAGTTTCTTCTCATATTCAAGTTATTAAGAATCTCCAAGAAGATTTTGAAATTATAAATTTAATAAATAATGGTCCCGTGGCATCAAATAAATCTGAAGAAGAGAAGATTAGTAAGAATTTTGAAGAAATTTTCCATAAAATTAATTTAAATAAATCCTTAGGTGGAATTAAGAAAACTTCCGATATAAACAAATCCATAACAAGAGATGAAAAGGAAAATGAAAATTTCAAGAGTCCAAACTCCAAATTGAATAAATCATTGATCAACACAACTTCAAATAAATCAAGGAAAAGAAAAATGATAACTTTAGAAACTGATTCAAGAAAAGAATTGAAAATCAAAACTCAACAAATTAAAGAACAAATGTCATTACCTTTTAAATTCACAAAGTTTTTCATGTCTATAAACAATCAATGGGAAAATGATTCAATTATTCTATCAATTCAACGTAATAATGATAAAGTTTCAAAAGTCAAATTGAATGAAAAAGCAAATATTTCTAAAAGATTTCCTGGATTAGACTTGTTCAAAAATTGTTCACATATTACAATTTTACATAATTTGGTCAATCTTATATTACCAAGTGACGCTTTGTCAACTATTGAAAATATTCAATCTGGATTTAAATCTAATTATATGATTCAATTAGATAATAATAATGAATTATCAAATATAACTTTTAAATCCTATACTCTTGTTTATTCATATGGGATTGAAATATTCAAATTTGAAGAACTGAATTTAAAATTAAATCAAGATAGAGAATTTATGCCTCAATTTTGGAAAATGTATTTAAGTAAATTTTATAATAAATCAGAAATTGAAATTATTAATGCTATTAAAGGTTTAACAATTAAACAAATCATATATAGTTCAGACAATATTGAATCAGATACAAATGATTTACATCAAAGACTTTCAAAATCAGATATAAAATTATTAGTATTATGGGAATTTATTAAAGTATCTAATCTGAATGATGCAATTACAAATACAACTCAAATGATTTTATCTCAACAAAAGACGTTGAAGAGCGGAAGCAAAAAGTCTAACCCTATAACTACATCCAGTGATAATGTCATTGCTCAAATGATTGAATATGAGGAAAATATTTTGATAGATCATACAAATAACTCGAAAGTACAATCTCCTAAGAATGATTCAAATATTCCAGAGATGAACAATTTGATGAACACGGTTTCAATCAGCTCTGCAGCCAATACCAGAAATTGGAACGTTTTACCATCATCTAATGCAAATACTACTACATCATATAATAGTATCAATTTGAATTTTGAAGAATCTTCAAACAGTTACAACGTTAATTCATTTAATTCTTTCAACAGTAATGATTATTCTTATTATAATGATCAAATGATAGTTCCAATTTCAATTAATGATCAATCATTTAATCGACAAGATAATTCTTTGAATGAAATATTCCCATCTAATATTTCAAATACAGATATCTCATCAAAATCAAAATATTTTACATCCATTTCAAACAATTTTGATTATAATTCAAATCTACAACCGCAGCAAGATTCACAATACTATTACCAGCTTCAAAATCAACATCAGCAATCACAGCAACAGCAGCAACAACAACAACAACAACAACAACAACAGCAACATCTTCATCAACTGCCCCAACAATCTCAACTGTTGCAATTCCATAATCAAGACTATAATAATTCAGGTATGCCTATGTATTTATAAATCAAAGTTTTAGCATTTTACATTTTCAATTCTCCAGTTCTATATTCCTTGTATAGTTTTAATATCATGAATTTTTCAACAAATCGATCAAAATACTTAAGAATCTTTATCGAATAGGTATAAATCTATTCAGTACTTCTTCAATTAATTCTCAAACGTGGACATGCGATGCAAATCTATAATCATTCTGACTCTGATATTGTGCCTCTAATTTAAAGGTTTACCGCACCAGATCTTTTTTTTTTCATAACCTCTATAAAAGACCATTATCTCATCCTACATCGCTTACAAAACTTCTACAACATCTATACACAAACAACACCATGGAGAGCAAAACCATTGGTATACTAGGAGGTGGCCAATTAGGTCGTATGATTGTGGAAGCAGCACATAGATTAAATATCAAAACAGTCATATTGGATGCACCAAATTCCCCAGCAAAACAAATTAATGCACTTGATCCTCATGTAGATGGTTCATTTACTGATTATGAATCTATGTATAAATTAGCTGAAAAAGTTGATATTATAACAGTTGAAATTGAACATATTGACGTTGAATCATTAAAAAAAATACAACTGAAATTTCCTAAAATTGAAATATATCCATTACCTGAAACTATACAATTAATTCAAGATAAATATTTACAAAAAGAACATTTAATTTCAAATAATGTATCTGTTACAGAATCTCAGCCAGTTGTCGAAAATACTGAGGCAAATTTATTACAAATTGGAGAAGATTATGGTTTTCCATTCATGTTAAAATCAAGAACTTTAGCTTATGATGGTAGAGGAAATTTTGTTGTAAAAGATAAATCATATATTCCAAAAGCGTTAGAATTTTTAACTAATCGTCCATTATACGCTGAAAAATGGTGTTCTTTTAAAAAAGAATTAGCAGTAATGGTAGTTAGATCAATAAATGGTGAAGTATTTGCATATCCAACAGTTGAAACCATTCATAAAGATAGTATATGTCATTTAGTTTATGCACCAGCGAAAATTACTGATACATTAGCAGAAAAAGCATCATTATTAGCTAAAAATGCAGTTAAATCATTTCCAGGTTGTGGAATATTTGGAGTTGAAATGTTTTTATTAGAAAATAATGAATTATTAATTAATGAAATAGCTCCAAGACCTCATAATTCAGGTCATTATACAATTGATGCATGTGTAACTTCACAATTTGAAGCTCATGTAAGAGCTGTTGCAAATTTACCAATGCCAAAAGGTTTTACTGAATTTTCAACATCAATAACAAATGCAATTATGTTAAATGTTTTAGGAGATAAAGATATTCCAAATAAAGAATTAGAATTATGCCGTAGATCATTAGAAACTCCTCATTCATCAGTGTATTTATATGGTAAAACAACAAGACCTTCAAGAAAAATGGGTCATATAAATATTGTTACTTCTTCAATGGAAGATGCAGAAAATAGATTATCATATATTTTAGGAGAATCATCAAAAATTCCTAAATCATTGGATAATAAAAATGAAAAACCATTAGTTGGTATAATAATGGGTTCAGATTCAGATTTACCAGTAATGTCAGTTGGAGCAAGAATATTAAAACAATTTGGTGTACCATTTGAATTAACTATAGTAAGTGCTCATCGTACTCCACATAGAATGTCACAATATGCAATAGAAGCTCCAAAAAGAGGTTTAAAATGTATAATAGCAGGTGCAGGTGGTGCTGCTCATTTACCAGGTATGGTTGCAGCAATGACTCCACTTCCTGTTATTGGAGTTCCTGTAAAAGGTTCAACTTTAGATGGAGTTGATTCATTACATTCTATAGTTCAAATGCCAAGAGGTATACCTGTTGCAACAGTTGCTATAAACAACAGTACGAATGCTGCTTTATTAGCTATTAGAATTTTAGGAGCTTATGATTATAAATGGTTAAATGAAATGAATAAATATATGAATAATATGGAACTGGAAGTTTTGGGCAAAGCTGAGGTTTTGGAAGACATTGGATATGAAGATTATCTTACTGAGAAATTAAAGAAAAGTTAGAAATAAAACAATAATTTAAATGAAAAACATGAAATTTTATGAACTTTTGTAAAAATATATTTTGAAAATAATGTACAAAGATTATAGAATTAAAACTAATGCAAAATACTACTATTATTATGAATAACACCAAGGGTACTTATAGTATATTTGAATAGTACGAATTAGATAACACGCCTATTACTTAAATGATTTTCCTCACGGCGTCTCATTTTGTGAATCATGTGGCCCGCCACAGACATTGTGCCTAACGAATTAGATATCTGGCTATTTCGTAATCGTAAATAATGCAATGACTTATAAGTACCTTTTAACCTCTTTTTCTAATTTTCCCACTTTTCAGTTTCCTCTGCTTATATCTTTGTGAATTTGAATCTCTCCAACCAGAAGTACTTACTTTTTTAGGTTCCTTGTTGTCAACATCCATTGACTCTTTATTTATTGCTTCTGCAACGGCACCGTTCTCTTTATCGGCTTGTTTTTGCTTTTTAGCTTCTTCTTGTTTAGCTGTTTCCTTTAATAATTTTTCAGCTATTCTCTTGTTTCTCTCATCTACAAATTTTGAAAATTCACCTTTCCTTTTCACGCTTTTAGCTTGTAGTTTTGATTTTGATCTCAATGATTTTGCCATCTTTGTTCAATACAAGTTCAATTATTACTTGAATACCTCAATAAATTAAGATGAGATGATCTGCTTATAATTAGTGATCTCGTATCTCGTAATCTTTGTCGCGTGTAATTCACGTGCCACTTTAAAAATAGGGTTATAAAACTTTTAGCTTTGTGATTTATTATGCAGTGCGAGCTTTACATAGTTAACGTACTGCTAGTATCAAATTAATTTTTCACTTTAATAAGGTGATATCACTTACTCAATCAGTGAACTGACTACTTTATACAACACATCAAAATGGCTCCAAAAGGTAAAAAAGTAGCACCAGCACCATTTGCTTCAAAATCATCCAAATCAACTCAACAAAAAAACCCATTATTGGAATCATCACCAAAAAATTTCGGTATTGGACAATCAATTCAACCAAAAAGAAATTTATCAAGATTTGTTAAATGGCCAGAATATGTCAGATTACAAAGACAAAAAAAGATTTTATCATTAAGATTAAAAGTCCCACCATCAATCGCTCAATTCAACAATACCTTAGATAAAAACACTGCTGCTCAAACTTTCAAATTATTCAACAAATATAGACCAGAAACTTCATCTGAAAAGAAAGAAAGATTAACTAAAGAAGCAGCAGCTATTGCTGATGGTAAAACTGCTAAAGACGTAAGTGAGAAACCATTAGTTGTCAAATACGGTTTAAATCATGTTGTTTCATTAATTGAAAACAAAAAAGCTAAATTAGTTTTAATTGCCAACGATGTTGATCCAATCGAATTAGTTATTTTCTTACCAGCTTTATGTAAAAAAATGGGTGTCCCATATGCAGTTGTTAAAGGTAAAGCTAGATTAGGAACTTTAGTTCATCAAAAAACCTCAGCTGTTGCTGCTTTAACTGAAGTCTCATCAGCTGATGAATCAGAATTATCTAAATTAATTTCAACCATCAATGCTAATTACTTAGAAAAATACGAAGATAACAAAAAACACTGGGGTGGTGGTATTATGGGTTCAAAAGCTAATGATAAAATTGCTAAAAAAGAAAAAGCCATTGCTAATGCTGCTTCTTCTGGTAATTAAGTTAATTGACTAATTTGAATCTAATGTGTATAATATAATAAATTTGTTTCATACGAACATCACCAAAGTAATAAACTCGTAGAATTGATTATAGAGGTTGTAGCAAATGCCGAAATAAGCTGCAAAAAGTTACACTACATAAACTACATTAACATTAACATAATACTATACTCTTAAAATACATATATACCATAAATATATCGCCCCAAATTCAAACATTAAACATTTGATCGAATGGTAGATCGGAAAAGAAGTCGAACGATCCATTTTCCTCAATTCCTAAACCTCCCGCAGTTACACCAGCAAATCCCCCACCATTAAGATTGAAACCATTATTTCCATTAGTATTAGTGTTTAAGTTATTAAATTGATTTTGATCAAATGATGAATACGGTGTTGCTACACTTTGCCAAGGTGTGGGGAATGGCGAATAATTTCGATTGTTAAGGTCATTAGGCATTTGAGAAAACTGATTAGCCAAAGCTGGTTGAGTCTGTGAAAAGAATTGTCGTTGTTGCTGTTGCAGCTGCTGCTGTGTCGTGTTGGAATCTTGAGAATTTGGGATTTGTTGTTGCTGCTGTTGTAGCATTTGTAACCAAATTTTATCAATTTCTAGATTGGTGGCAACGTCCAATCCAAATTCGTTGGTATATGTCTTAGCATCAACTGAAATATCTGAATTTGGAGTTAGTTTATTAACTGGATTTGTATTAGTTGTACTTGAGTTGCTTGATGAAACACTATTTTGATGTTTGTATTGTTTATAAGTAACATCACTACAAAATTCATCACCCATTAATCCTGTCTTACCTAAAATTTTTAAAGCTTTTTCACACATAACAACAATTTCTTCAATCTGATCTGTTGTGAAACCAGGTAATTTAGCTTCAGATTTGCTATCGACAAATTGATCTTTATAAAATTCCATAGTTGTTATAACTTTCAATAAATAAGTATGACTTTTCGTTAATTTCCAAGCGTAAAAATATCTAGAGCTTAACTTCGATACAGCAGCAATTGAGACTTCGGCACATCTTGTTAAACAACTTGAAAATTTACACAATTCTTTGTAATATTCATAATACTGAGTATCTGAATAACACTTTTTCTCGTGATCAGGTTTTGACTTCAAAGAGTAGATTGATAAATTCACTCTTATTATCAATGCAAAGTACACTTGATTTAATTTATGAATTATTTGTTGTAGTTTTGGATTGATAAACATATCACAAATTACATCTGAATTACCCATTAATTCGAAATAATGAGGCATTAAGTCCATTGCTGCAATTTTTATAATCTTCTTCAAATAAAAAAATGCTAAACCCACATCTTTATATTCATAGTGTAAAAAAATATGAAAGTATATTGATACAAAAAATGATTTTAATGAAATGTAAAACTTAGCTTTAAAATTTCTTTCAAAAATATGAGATCCAGGAGTAATAACCAAACATTTGCTTAATGATGAAAATTCTCCACCCATTGCATTTTCGAATTTACTTATTGAATTACATAATTCACTCACCTTCGTTGATCCATTAATTCTCAAGACTTTTTTTAATATCGTCCTTAACAAATCGTACAATTCCGATGATTTTGGGAAAAAAACATTCGTGACTGTTTTGTCTAGTTCAACATTCGTTGAATTTGCATTTTCTTCATTACAAAATGGAATTTTGGTATCATAGCTATCAGGATCAATTAACATAGGACTTCCAAAGGTATAAGCATGATGCATGTCACCTAAAACTAATACGTGCCAAATTTTTCTACCTAAATGATTCATTTTCTGATCCTGCAATATTCCTGAAAGATTATCCGGTTCTCTATTCAATCCTAACGAATAAGCCATTTGAATTAAAAGTGCAGAAAATGCATTTGTGTCTGCTCCGTCGCCGTCGTCTCCATCTTCTGGTGCATACATGTAATAAAATCTTATGTATAATGCTAATTGTAACACAGACATCGACGTTCTTCTTAAAATATCAAATTGATACAAGCAAAAAGTGGCAACACTTATAGTATTTATACTGATAGGGTTCTGCATTAAAAATTTGATATCTTGAGCTTTTTCAGAAGGATCAGTTGTAGTCAATCTTTCTTCATTTACCAGTAACTTATTTGAAAATAATGATAAATAAGTTAATCTCATAACAATTAATAATAGTCCAACAATGGCCAAGTCTAATCTTTTCTCAATTTTCAAATTTTCAATTGGTTTTTCATCATAGGATCTTGGTCCGATAATTTTGACAACTGACTCCAAAAAATCTTTTTCATCTAAAAATGGCATAAATGGAAAACAATACGTGAAGAATCTATCAATCAATTTCCAAATTACTTTTTTTGAAGGAAGTAGTTGACGAATCCGATCGATTAGTTGAAATTCACAACTAAACTGTCCTTCATACAAAGTTAAGTCCAATGGCAAGGTGTCTTTGTTAACTCTTTTCTTCAATTTCTCCTTCAATAAGTCATAAGGTACAACATCGCTATATCCATTTGATTCAAGTATACGCTTTTTAAATTGACCTTCTGACTCATCTGTATCATTTGTAACTAGCATTGTATTTTCTTGATTAATTTCTGCATTTGCTGGACAAATTGCTAAATTTTGAGTGCTTTCTTTCATTTTACTGATGTGTTTCCATAACAAACTTAATACTTCATCTCTTCTCATAATCGAAGACCATGCAAATGGTCCATAATTTATACGTTTGTAATCTTTGCAAAACACTGAAGAATAGTTGTCAAAAAAATTTATTGTTTCTGAATCATTCAAATATGGATTTACACCATCCATCGTTTCATTAATTTCAGTTTTTACGTTTGTGTTAGGTGTTGTTGAATTATAAAGTGGTGATGCTTTGGTGGATGTACTACTAATTGACGATTCGTAAGGTGAAAAATGATCTTTGAAACTGATAGGTGGTAAATGAACAGGGGGTGATCTAACTCTTGCATCTGACAAGTTGTATGATGTTGTAAATTGGGATGATTGAGATTGATTACTTCCAATAGTAGAAACTCCAGGACTCCATGAATGAGTAATAGATGTGGTAGGTGGTGGCAAAACAGGAGAAGGTACAGAAAATGGGTTTTGATGAGTAATACTGCCGAATCGTTTTGTATTGTGAATATTATCAGATTGAGGTTTATTTTGAGATGATTGAATTTTCGATTCGATGCTTTCAAGTCTTCGCTTTAAAAATTTAAGTTCTTCTAATGACACCTGCTCCTCGTTTAAAGCTGATGATGATGATGTAGTCACTTTCGATTTCTTGGTGTCTTGATCTGAGATACTGGAATTAGATGTTCGTTTCAACACGGCTGGTTTATTAGTAGATAACTCTGTTTGAGGTTGCATACTTGATTGAAGATTAATTTCAGGATTTGCAAACTTCATTGGTTGTTTAGCACTTTTCTCATAGGGTTGTATTGATGAGGTAATTTGATCTCCATTTCTTGAAGACTCATCATCATAAGTGCATATAACTTTCTTTCTAGACTTGACACAATTTGAACAAGGTAGTTGACGATCACATTTAATTTTTCTTGCTTTACAATTAAGACAGACAAGACTAGGTCTATTTCGTTTCTTATGTTGACTTTCTTGTTTCCTTTCTGATTTTTGTAATTCAGGTGATGGTTGCATCAGTGTTGACATATTGAAGATATATTGATGTTAGTCACTTGCTGAATGAAAAGCACGTATTTTAATTCAAAAAATTTAAAAAAGTATTTGCAATCCGATAGTCAATCAATTTAAATTATATGTAACGCCTTTTTCTTTTAACTGTGATTCGATATGTAATCAGAATTTATATAAGTAAGGTTTACTTTATTGAAAAAAAAAAGCGGGCAAAAAAATAAAGAGCTAAATGTTCGGAGATACGAGGAAAGTTCGGGTTTGATATTTTTCAACTTTAGCTTTGAATACTGAACTTAGATATTATAGAGTAGAACCAACTTTATACTGAAAAGAACAGAAATAATTTGATACATGAACCTCTGAAAACAAGTCTGTTCAAAAAACATCACAGTAATGTTTGATTACGACATAAGGATAGTAAATTGGTTGGATGTTCGTTGTTGGCCAAGATTGCTGCAAATATTAATCGATTTATAACATTTTATAGATGTGAAACACCCACATCTATATATTTAAAATTTCTTTTCATAGTGATTATGCATGATCAACAGATCTTGTTGAAATCAAAATTGTCGAAATATACTTCGCTAAGTTTCATTCCCCTTGACTCAAAATGTGATCTCGCGCGGCGCTATCTATGTGAAAATTTTAAAAGTAGTACGAAGAGAAAAAAATGGAGTGACAAAACTAATTATATTTTTTATTCTTTCTAATTTTAAATTTTATTGCTTAAACTTTTACATTTTGCAACTATCAAATTTAAGTTCAGTAGATCGAGTCAAATAATATAGAACAAACTTTCACAACTATAGCAGTATTAACTGGACTCAAAAATAAGAAATAAACTTTCACACGTCAAAGACACCTTAACTTTCAATCCCATAAAGTCATTTAACCACAAACATATAGACTTTCATATAGTTCATCATAGATAATGCTACCACCACCAGTAATATTAGATTCTCAAGCAATAAGTGGAATAACAGGCTCAATATCAATAGCATGTTGGATTGTAGTCTTTGCTCCTCAAATATCTCAAAATTTTATCAGAAAATCATCAGATGGTTTAAGTTTAACTTTCATAATATTATGGTTAGCAGGTGATGTCTTTAATGTATTGGGAGCAGTATTGCAAGGACTTTTACCAACAATGATCATATTAGCAATATATTATACTTTAGCTGATATTGTTTTATTATGGCAATGTTTAGTATATGGAAATGGAGACGATAGTGAAAAAAAAACTGATTTGACTCACTTATCACCGGCAACTCCTATAAACGATGATATCTTGGAGGAAGCTGTTTCACCATCTATACGGTCCCAAGACTTAGAAAATTCCGATTCAAAAAAGTCAAACTATTCTTCAAATGGACTAACCAGTATTTTATTGAATACATTAATGGTATCATTAGTTTTATTATCAGGAATAATTGGGTGGTATATAAGCTACCTCAACGATTTAAAAAATGACGAAAAACACCAACACCATAATCATGACTCAAAAAATTCTACCAATTTAGTATTTGATCCATTAGCTCAATTTTTTGGATGGTTATGCGCTATATTGTATTTAGGATCAAGAATTCCTCAAATTGTTTTGAATTATGAAAGGAAGTCAACTGATGGCATATCATTTATGTTTTTCTTATTTGCATGTTTGGGTAATTTGACTTATGTCATCTCAATCATATCGATAGATATGAGTTGGTATTATTTATGGGTAAATAGTTCTTGGTTAGCAGGATCATTGGGGACTTTGGCTTTAGATTTTACGATTTTTGTTCAATTTTTTTTATATAATAAAGATGATGAATTAAGTTTTACTGATAGCGAAGCTACTAGTTGTTGCGAGAGTAATCATGAGCGTTTACTCAATGGTAACAACAATGAAAGCTATGGTTCAACTACATCTAATGATAAGCATGTATAAAAAAATAATATAGATTTAATGAATAGATATTTAGGTTTTAATGAAATTGGGAATCTAGTGAATCTAGTGAATCTAGTGAATCTGAAGTTATATAAAGCGCCCGCACCTAAACTTTACAAATCTCACATATTGAAAATTTTATCTAATGGTAAATCCTGAAATAGTTCTGAGTAATTGAACAAATTATCTTGTTGATAGATATTGCTATGACCTGATACATTGTTAAGATCACTCAGACTTTGGTATTGACTTTGAGTATTTATAGAATTGGAATATTGATCATTTAATTTTCCGAACGAGTCATAAGCCACATTTATGGCATTATCATGATCAAAATTTCTCACGTTTGACACATTGTTTCCTGGATGAGACTGAGGGTGTTGCTGATGAACATTTTGTAACAGACTTTGTTGTCCTTCCGAATGTGCGCCATGTTGTCCGTAGGGTTGCTGCATCTGCTGTTGTTCGTACGGAGTTTGAACAGTTTGTTGTTGTTGATTAGTTTGCTGACTACCTTGAGAACTCGAATATCCTTTGTTCTCTTTTTCATTTTTAAACGATAACATTTGCAACCAAATTGAATCAATTTCTTGACTATTATCAAAAGTCAAATCATCAAAGCCTGTAAAATATAAACCATTGGAAGCAACGCTTCCTGGTGTAGGAATACCATTTGACGAAGGAGAGGTTGTTGTAGTGATTGAACCTGAGTATGAATTGTGCATTGGTTTACTCGATGACGATTCATTAGCTTTATTATATTGGTATGTATTAGGCATTTCAGTTTTCCTGAACAACGAAGGAATGTCAACTTCTCTGCAATATTTATCGACTTTTTCTTGTAATTCATCTAATCCTATTTCAGCAACATCCGACAATTCACTCATATGTTCGATTATTGAATCTGAAAATTCTAAACCCTTTGAGTCATTCTTTTTGTAAAATTCTTGACTCGTTACTAGTTTCAAGTAATAGTTCTGACTTCTCGTCACCTCCCATGCAAAGTAATATCTATTACTTAAAATTGAAACAGCTGTTAAACAAACACGACATGATTTCTCCATCAATGTTATAAACCTATTAGTAGAATCAAATTTCTGTTTATAGTTCGTATCATTTTTGATACAATGCTTATGCCATGAATTATTCAGCATTTTGTAAAGTGCAAAGTTACTTCTCATTATACCTATTAAACAAATATCGCTAATTCTTGTAACAACTTGAATTAGCGTAGGGTTCAAATACAAATCCGAACCTTCTCCAAAAAGTTCTTGACCTCTGACGATTAATGCAAATATTGATGGTAAAACTTCATTCATTCCAATAGCTAATAGTTTTTTGAGGTAAAAAAAACATAGCTTACTATTAATCGGATCATAAAAATGGAATAAAAAACAATAATTTAACATCATAAATGAGTACATTTTCAATAAAATTGCAATCTTCATTAACTTATTTGTGTGATAGCTACTGTTGGTTTCCTCTAAGGGAGAGATATAATCACCTGTTTTACCAAAAATTTTTCTGACACCAAGTTCCAAACAATTGAGATGAGTGGTTAGTTCATATAATTTGATTTTGTTACTCACTTTCGAGTATAAATCAAATATTTCCAATATCGGACCTTTGACTAATGCTGAAATAAATGCATATAAAGAGTAAGACGTTTTGTCTTGCTCTATATCAATCAAGTTTGAATTTGATTCTGACAAATAAGGTCTTTTCGTATCATACGACTCTAATCTAATCAGTGCTGGAGCACCATAAGTATAGGCTTGATGATAATCCATCAGCAACACAAAATACCAAATTTTTCTGTATAAATTTTTCAATTTTTCATCCTTGAAGTCTGGGTTTTTATCAGGTTCACGATTTAATCCCAACATGTAACTCATCGAAACCAATGTACTATTTTGGATTTGGCTATTCCCACCCTCTAATCCATCACCTTCTTCAGGTGCATATATTTGATACATTCTGATATACACTGCACATTGTAGCATAGGAAGACTAACAATACCAAGTTTTTCTGAATAAAACAAGCATGCTTGCGCTACACAAACACTTCCAATAGGAACAGCATTCAACAATAAATATTTTCTTTCTTCTTCCTCGTATGTTAAATCTTTCTTTGTTAATATCTTTTCATTATGAGATCCCTTGTTGTGAAACAATGATAAATAACTAAGTCTTAATACAACTAATAAAATACCAATTTGACTGAAATCAACTTTATTTTCGATCTTGACATTTGGAACTATTTGCTCATAAGATTCAGGCCCAATAATTCTTTCAATTGACTTCCTAAAATCCCCCTCAATTAAAAAAGGCATAAATGGATATAAAATCAACATAAATCTTCTTATTAGTAGCCAGATAACTTTTTTTTGTGGCATTAACATTTTGATTTGCTCAATCAATGTGAATTCTCGATCCTTAGCTCCTCCTAACACGCTTAAACCTAAAGACAAAGTTGATATGTTGATTGGTTTATGAATTTGTGGATCGTTATTTGTTTGATTATTACCACTTAAACTTTCTTCTTCTTGTGTATCGGTTTTAGCTTGAAATGTTGAAACAATTTTTTCATCTATATTCAATGTCTTTTTTATTATATCATCTTTTGGAACCATTAACTTTTTTAATCTATCATACGTTATTCCAGCTTTGAAGTTATTCATTTGATGTTTCTCTACAAGTGCAAAATTTCTCAAAGCTTTATATGAGGGACTGTTTCTTACCGAATATGACCATGACAAAGGGTACAAATTCCTGTTTCTCATTATATCGTTGCTTGGGTAAGATTGAGAATAAGACTTAAAAGAATCTTCAGGATCATCATAAGGGTTTATTCCTATCAAAAAATTCTCCCTTTTGGGTAGATCAGACAAATGAATCTGATTTGTAACCGATAAATTTGGATCATACATATAATTTCTTTCTGATGTTATGTTTTCAAAAGGTATATATCCAGGTCTTGATTCCTCGTGAGTTGTGAAAATCACGTTTCTATACGTATCAACACTATTGTTGAATACAAGATCATTATTTCCTTTAACTGCTTTATTTTTTGATTCAATACTAGGTCCTGGTGATTTTAGAATTTTATCATTTATCATTGTTTCATATCTTTTAATTTTGGATTGTAAAGCTTCTAACTCTGATTTTTGAAGTATCACACAAACATCATTTTGAGAAGAAAGCGTACCATTTATATTTCCTGATGATGACTTTGAAACTAATACATTTTTTGGTTTCCTTCCGGCAGTAGGGTTGTTATTCTTTCTTGGCCTCTTTCTATTATTTAACCTTTCATCATAAGTACATTCCTCAATTATGCCATTTTTAAAACAACCATTACAAGGCTTACCTCTATCACATTTGATCTTCTTTTTTCTGCATGGAAAACAAACTAGACTTGGTCTATTCCTTTTTTTAACTGTATGATCAGGTGAACTTGTGTCAATCTTGTTTATCTCCGGATCACTTTTTAAGCTCGATTTAGTATTATTTTCAACTAGTGCCATTCTTAAATCTACGCAGATACTAAAATTATACAAAGGGCTACTTCTATTTCATGAATCAAAAAGCTAATTGTGGATTGCAATGTGTTATGATGAATTGTATTAGTCTGACTTCATGGATATAAGGTACAAAAACTTCAAATTTTTTCCGGACTGTTAGATGAACTAAATAGACTAAATCGAAAAAAAAGAATTTAAGAAAAGTTAATAAAACTTTAATAACCAATTTAAGTGATCATTAACTACAAATAAATGTAGACAATTTGAACTATCTAATCATATTTTATAAATCTATATAGAGAAATTTCTAATGATGATATAACAATATTTATAATTTTTTCTAGTATTTTTGAAAGAATATAATGATTTCAATTTATAATTTTGCAACTTGTTTTGCTCCATGGATCAAACTTTGTTCAATTTCGTATAGTTTATGTAAAGCTTCTGCAAAAAACTTTTGAGCAATTGGTCTTCTTAATTTGAAAGTGGGAGTTACTACTTCTCTTTCGACCGTCAACGGATTAATTTCAATATGAATATTATGTAACAATTCAAATCCATTTAAATGATTTTTGACATTTGAATTTAAAATATTCAAAATCTTAGTTTTGATTGGTTTTTCATTAAGGTAGTTCAATAATTCTTGTTGTGACATATCAATTTTGTTGAAACCATATTCTTGATTCAAAAATTTTAAACAATGTTCGTAATCAATTCCAACAACACCAATAAGATAGGATTTTAATGAATTACCATGAACAAATATTTGATTGATAAGGGGATTTGCTGAAAGGTATTTGTTTTCAATTTTTTCAGGTGATACATATTCACCTTGTGCCATTTTGAAGAAGTTTTTAACACGATCAATTATACTGACTCTACCAAATTCATCAATAGTTGCAATATCACCAGTATGAAACCAACCATCTTCTGTAATTGCTTTGTTTGTCTCCTCTTGATTATAATAATAACCTTTAAACATTTGTGGACCCCTTAATAAAACTTCACCCTGTAAGTTTTCAATGGTGTATCCCATATCTGGTACACTCCTCAATTTATATTCTCCTGTGGGTGAAATTGAACCACTGGTTCCTGGTTTTGAATCATACATACATGTACCAGTTATTGCAGCACCTGATTCAGTCAAACCATAATATTGTATCAATCCCATATTTAAACATGCTTTCAAATATACTATAGTTGTAGCAGCAACAGGAGCTGATGCTGTTTGAACCCATCTTAAATTCTCAAAACCAATGAATTTTTGAATATTTAAATAAGGACCATAAGAATCATATTTTGCATTGAATCCTTCAGACCCTGCAAATTTTCCATGTTCTTTTATTTTATAATCTATAATCTCATTTACTTTAATTTGCTCAGATTGTGGTAATTCCTTGATCTTGTTTTTAATAACTCCTTCCAATTTGGTCAATAATCTTGGCACAATCGACATATAAGTTGGTTTCAAAATTCTCAAATCATCAAGCATATAGTCAAATGGAATAAAATCTTTTTTACCAAGAGTGATTTGGGGTAAACTTAATGCATAACCAGTACTTAAAGCAAAGGCTGAAGTTTGTCTTTCGTACAAATGAGTCAATGGTAAATAGATGTATGCGGTATCACCTTCTTTAGCTTGTGGCTCAAAACACATTATGAATGAAATGTAGGATGAAGCACAACGATGTGGAACCATAACTCCTTTAGGTTTTGAGCCAGTTGTTCCAGATGTAAATGAAATGGTGAATATACTATCTGGGTTTGGAGGAATTTCTTCAATGGGATTGGATTTACCAATGTTTTCAATTTGTTTTAAATCTTGTATTTCAACATTCAATTGATCGGCCAACTTTAATAACTCTTTATTGACGTATTTAATTGGATCCATAGAAACAATAGATATCAAACCTTCTGTTTCTTTAGGGTATGATTGTTTAAGCTTGAGCAACACTTCAACTTTATCTAAGGTGCATACAACCATTGGACTTTGAGTTAGACCTAGAATATATTGAGACACATCACTTCCCAAAGTGTCATACAAAGCAGTTGATGTGATTGAATATGAAGAACATGCCAAATCAGCCAAGATCCATTCTACTCTATTAACAGCAAAAATGGATAAAATGAATGAACAACTCTTTTCAATACAATTGTCGGCATTATCTCTTAAATAATTGGGTATTCCAAATGAGGTTGTAAGATGATTTTTAACTTTCTTATGTGATTCAATTTTGTCAGGATTTAAGTATTTGTTTAATAATAAAGATCTAATGATGCCAGCTCCAATATGATTTTTTTTGACAAATGTTTCGTTATATGACAAGTACTCATAAAAATCACTCAGTTTTCCAGTATCATAATCGTATTTCCTTACACCAAGACAAGGACGTGATGCATATCTCTTTGCTGCGGTATTAAACAATTTGGCATGAGTATTTAATTCTGGATGAATCGAATCAATCAATTTGTTCTTTGAAGCTTTATTTCTGAAAGTTTGCGAAAATTTTGAATTAATTGAACCATCAGAAACCTTTACGGACTGGAAAACATCCTCGTTGAGTGGTAGTTTTGTAATCGAATCTTCAGCTGAGCATTCAATTGATGAAAATAAAGAATCAGACATTTGACGATTTTAATTTCGAGATTTCGAATGAGCAAATTTGTATCAAAATTATTGATATATGGAGTACAATAGAATGTTTCAGGTTGAAAATAATAGGAAAGTCTAGTGAATATATATTTTAATTAACGAAAGATAAACGATCGGTTATTCAAGTTGAATACCCGTGAGTGGTGCTTCATCATTAAGCTTTTATATTAAATAAAGCTTCTTTAATAATGCATTGATGATAAAACTTTACGAGTTGGGGTTGACACCAGATGAAAATGTTGGGGTTCTTATTTCAAGAAAGTTAAGAATAATTCAAAAACTTTGAAACACAGCAAATTTTATTTTCCGTATTACACTTCTTGCTCATCAACTAAAACTATGTATGAGAGATAGTCTTGCCTTCCTACGCTAGATTTGTTGATCGATAAATAGATTTGAAAAGTTTAAAGACTGAGTACAAATTATAGAGTCAAACGATGCGGGGGGTTTAGCTAAGCGCTAGTTTTGATAAAGTCAAATTAATTTTTTTCATTAAACTTCCCCACAATTACTTAAATTTAAGTTTCAGATTTGATAGATATAAGGACAAGATTCGAAATTTATTTGGTAGCATATAAGCTTCAAACTTTAGGTATGGTTGAGTATTGCATAAGAAGTTATGAGTCCTTCACCACAATATCTATTGTTCATGTTTATATTCCAGAATTATGAGAATTTGGTTCTTTGAAAACGGAGTTATGACGTATTAAAAGGAGAATCATTTGCTACTTTTGTTGGTAAATGAATTTAATAAATTATATTGCCGTCTTCACCTTTCGAACAATTATTTGGTTATAAAGTGTATTTCAAAGACACAACAAAACCAATATAGAATTGCAATTATTCACTATTTCCTCCACTTTGGATTTTTTTAGTAATTTTAATACCAAAATAGATTCGTAAAATTTAATTAATAACACTAAGCCGAGTCTCCTTACTTCGACTTTTGAATAAACTATAGGTTTTGTATTAGTGTCTCACTGATCGAGTTTCTAACTTGTATACCCGTGGATCCATTATAAAGATGATTCTCCCTTTAATAAATGTTCTTGATAACGACTTCATGATCTCAGAAATAGAAGATCATCTTCGCTTTCTATCTAAACATTTATTGATATGTTGAGCAAATCTTCCACCTGCTATTTTTCTATTACAATTTTCACAATCAAAATACCTAGAAGTTTCACTCGTTTTTAATTTAATTTTATCTTGACCAAATATGTCTCTATTTACATCTTTAGTTTGAAAATTATAATTTTTGATTAATTTATCTGTCTCCTCATTATTGCTAATTGAGTTTTCAATCGTAAGATGATTTGAATATTGGTTCAATATTTGATTTTTGATTATGTTTTTGATCATGTCGTTTAATAATGAATCTGACTATCGGTGAATTTTGTTAATACTTTTGCATCATTAACATATTAATTACTAATTAACTTACTAGCAGGTAGAATGTCACATCTGATTGTACCATTTTAAAATCTAAATTTATGTTTTGAGATTGTATCTCGTGAGAGTAGATCAACCTTTCTTAAGTTACTCAAAACTCTTTTCAATGATTTTAATTATTCACCATTAACCTGATGCGGAAAAATATGCGGTTCACAAAAATTACTATTAGTTATGAACCATCTCGAAAAGACCATCTCTAAATCACTTTAGTTTTCCATTTAATGTCTTACATAGAAGACGATGAGATCCCTACCGCAGATAAACTCATTCAGAATAGTGAGTCCAAGGATGAAATAGAATTAGAGGACGAAATTCAACAAGATTGGAAACAATTCACATCGTCAAAGCAAAACATATCATCAGTATCAATTCCAAAAAGAGGAGAGAAAGAGTTCGAACCAGATGGGACTGCTGTTCAACTAACGTCATTACAAGAATCACAAAATGCTATGTTTGCAGCATTATCTCAAGATCGTGGTCATCATTATTCTAAACGATTAATTGGAGTATGGTGTTCTAAAATTCATCAATGTGTGATAATTAATGTTAAGGGGAATTATTTTAAAGACATGGGTAAGGGTAAAGATAATTTCATTTATTTGAATAGTATTGAAACTATGTATTTGGCCGAAAGAGGCAGTCTAGTGGTTTTTTTATCGAATGATAAATTTGAAAAATTGATCCTTGATAATGATATCAAGAATTTGAAGGAGTATAACATAGAGAATGAGCTATGGGGTTTAGATTTGGAATACCTTTATTGTTTGACAGAGATCGATGTTGCAAAATATCAAATTTATGCCTACTTGAAAAGATTAGGTTATTTGTTGATGGAAGTAGAGACCAACCACATTCAAAAAGAAATTCAAATAGTCAATAAACCAAAACAAAATTCGAAACTAGATGTATCATACTGGCTACTACCGAGAAAATGGGGAATATTGCCATATCCGAATCTACATACATCACACTTTGCATCAAAAAATTATTTTAATTATACAAATATAGCTGAATCCATATCATTAAATAATCAACTAATAACTCCTCAACAACCAGAAAATGAATTTAACATAACATTCAATGTTTGGAGACCCACACCTCAATTTTCAAAGAAGAACCCTCCCTACCCTGATTATCAAGTATGTGTAGTTGATTCATCTAAAAATCAAGATTATTTATCTTTTGAACAAATTAAAAATTTACAATCTAAATTGCTCAGGCAAGAAGATTTTGAAACTCAAAAACCTAAAATTAAACCCAAACCAACTACATCCAAAACAGAAACAAAAAAACAAATCAAAGCTAAACGAGCAGAAGAAAGAAATAAAAAATTAGATAAATCAATACAACTAAGAAATTCATATTTACGTCAAAGAGATATGGGATTTAAATATGGTTATGCAAGTCTTATAATTGGAATTTACAATTATGGAGTTTTAAATTTTGTTAATTTATCAACTGGAAATTTCAATTGTGAATTTAAAAAGGCAAATTTAGATAACATTTACCCCAATAAAAATCATTCAATAATTTATAACGAATTTTAATGATAATACGATATGGAAATTTACATTTAAATAAAATAACTTTTATAAAACCACTCTATAAAATTGCTGTCTCTTTTTGTCTTATATTCAACAACCTGTCAATTTATTTTTTGGGAAAGTGTATCCTCCCAGTTCAAAAGTTGTTAAATTCATATTATAATAAATATTCTTATGTTGTTCAATATAATTAGCTGTTGGAAAATCATCTGGATCACAACCCATATTTATTTCATCTTCTGGTTGATAAACTCTGACATAATCAACTCTCATTCTACTTGGAAATACTAAACTTGGCCAATCTATATATGCCCAAGAATTAGATACACCTAAATTCATTATAATACTAATAGGTTCTTTAGGTACTTGTCTCCAACCTACATTACCATTTGGATGTAATGCAGTTGATTTCATTGTAAAAGTGGGATTATCACCAACAAACCAAGTTATATAACCAGTATCATCATCATTTAAATATTCATAACCGAATTTTTGAAAATTATGTTCATGATCACCAAATTGATACCAAGTAGTATTTAACATAGAAACACCAGAAACTGCTTGTTGAAAAGGTCCTCCTGCATATGTATTCATTAAAGTTACTGAAGCATTATAGATTTCAATGAAATCATAATCTGGCATATACCAAATATCATAAGGAGCAATTTGTAAAGATTGTGATACTCTACCAATAACTCCGTGAATTTCACCTTCTAATGCATCAATTTCAGGTGCTCCTCTACCTTTTCCTGGATTAGGATGTGATTCTCCAGGACATGTACAAGAATTTAATCTTTGACCTGGTAAATAAGATATACCATCTGGAGATGATTGATTTGGAGTTATACCAGCATCACAAGTATCATAAGTATATGGCCATACACCTTCTGTTGAAGCTAAATATCCTGGTCTACCTAAATTACCCATTGACCATAAACCAGGCCATAAACCAGAAATATTACCATAACCAGGTAACATTGCAGAAAATTCTAATTTACCTTGAGTAAAACACATTTTATTCCAACTTTGAACCATACCTGATCTATAAAATAATCCATGATTTTTAAAAGCATCTAATTGTAATACTAATGTACCGTTTTCAGTTGTTGCAGCATCTGGATCATACCATTCTAAATCTTGAGTTGCAGCATAATGAAAATCAGGTGCAGTAAAAAATTGATCATCACCATCGTAAAAAGTTCTACCTTCTGCATTAAATTCATCACTAAATACTAATTTCCAAGTTCTACCATCTTGTCCAACATTTGTTAATGCATATTCTGGAGTATCTGGATCAACTAAACTTTGTCTTATTGCACTTAGCATAGGATATGAATAATCAGTTAATATTTCATAAACTTGAGGTCTATATGGTGATGAAACATTTGTAAATGTTAATACAGGTAATAAAATAAATATACATAAAGCAATAATTAATAAAGCAATAAAAGCTAATAATCCACTTAAAGATCTACGATCCATATTTTTTAAATCATAAATAAATCTATTTTTATTATATTCTGAATCAATAACTGGATCTGGATTATGTAAATAATCATCAGGTTCTTTTTCATCTATACTTAAAGGAAATTGAGATTCCGGATAACCTCCAAAAGGAGAAAAATCATCATAATTATTATTTAAAGTAGAAGAATTTGGAGGTGATGAACTTGATGTATTGAATGAATGATTATCTTGATTTAATAAACTTGATGTTGAATGTTGATTTGATAAATATGAAAATTGTTTTGGATATCTATCATATGCTGGAATGGTGGGAGTAGATGAAGGATATTCTTGATACTGTCCTAAATTCTTGCTATTATTATTATGCTGTTGTTCTTGTTGATTTATAGATGATGGATAAATTGGATTATTTATTCGATTGTAGTTATTACCTAATAAAGGTTGAAAAGATTGATTTCCAGGTAAAATTGGTGATTGATTTGAATACATTGATTGAGAAGATTCATTATTTGTTGGTATATATTCACTTCTATGACTATCATTGAATACAAAAGAATTATCATGACTTAAGTTTTGATTATCGGTGTCACTTCTTAATCCTAATCTATTATTATAAGAATCTGAATCTGAACTCAGTTGTTGTGGAGAATAATGTTCATTCGTATGAATATTGTCAATATTTTCTTCCGAAGCTACAAATGGATTTGAAGGCGCGTGTGGCCTAATATATGATTCTTCATCACTATTATTTCTATTCAAGTATTGAGTATTATTGTTATTGTAATCATTATCATATTGTCCTTCTGAATTTATTAAATTTATAGTCGGTGGTTTTTTATTTTGATTAGTTAAATTTCTTTTCATCCTTTTGAAATTATAATTAATAATTTAGGAGGTTATTTCTAAAGGGGTGATACAGTATACAACAATTAAAAGAATGAATATTGATTGATAAAGATTTATGATCTGAATAGATTTGATGAATAGATTTATAAAATATTTTTAAATTATATCAAAACATAATTAGAAGTGTATTTGATAATTTACATTAATTTACATTATTAACATTGAAGAAATTCAAATGTTTTTGTTTAAATAATAATAAATTTTTCTTAGTAACATTATTTCTTGTCCACTATTTATTTATTTCTTGGAACGAAGCGAACGAATTAGAAATTGAAATTACACAGCAACAATTAGACAAGGAGAAGAGTTAATCGTGACGGAAGGACATAATATTCTTTTTTGTATCCCTCAGTGTAATCTTGAATGTAGCTTAAAGCGTTTCATTTATGTTGAATTTTGATAATTTATAGAAAAAATTAAATATAAAAGATGTAACATAATGTAAACTTTAAAATCTATTGGAGTACAAAAATTGAAATATTATAAGCAGTTATTCATGGAACAACCAGACTTAATTCATAAAAAATTCAAAAAAGAAATCAAATCAATTTAGGATAGAGCTGAAACAGCATCTAGGTTTTTGCTCAAGAGATACGTTTTTCTTTCAAATATTTAAATGGTTGCGAAAATTTATTTAATTTTATTTCGTGTTTCATATAATCATAATATATACAAAAAAATATCTTGTCTCGATCTCGATGACAACTAATACGTATTAAAATCAAATACTTGACACGGAGCAATCTTAATACATGCTACTTATAAATACAAGGTCAACCTATATTACTGTATTTCTGATGATTCCATTTCAAATTATAAAACAAATAATCACAAGAACACTACATACAAGAGTTTTTCCCAAATTTGTAGTAAGTGTCAAACACATTCAATTCCAAATTTTTTCTTCCTCGTCTGCTAAAGCGTGATGAAAGCTTTGTATCGATCCATTATATTCCATTCAAATAATTGAAAATTAACTCAATTAAAGTTACATCATCGAATTAGGTTAAATGAATAATTCGCTAATTGATATAATAACTAAATCGCGGGCATGAATCTCTCATCGATGCTTTCCTGAATAGTTGAATGTTACGAAGCGATTACGTATATTCAGATTTGTAAGTTTAAACGGCTGTTTCACCTTACCGGATTCATTTATTGCAATACTATTCTGGCTCATTTAGGTTTGAATTTGATCGCTTTCGAGTTTAACATTGCCCCTTTTGATTTTGTGTTGATATAATTCAAGAGATATAATGATGTCACAAAGTTGACTTTTAATAATAATTAATAGCGTGTTTTATGTGAGATGTTTCATATTAATTTCACGAATTCATGTGTTATATATTTAGTCTAGATATAATTGTTGTGAAAATGATTTAAAAATCCTGCTGCAAGTATAAGAAGCTATTATCATGAGATTAGAAGTATAAGTGTTCCAGATTGGTTATTTATAAGATGTTGCAACTGAAAATTGAATTCTTAATTATACTTAGTCGTGTGATGGTTTTTGACGTAAGTAAATCAATTTTTTCTGTACATATCATAGAGACTAGAAGAGTCGCAGATTATTATAGAATGTAATGAAGTATGATGAAAGCTTAGAGTTTTACTGACATAGAGCTTAATTTTTTGGCTGCTTATTTAATCTCTCCTTTATCGCAAAAAACCGTGTTGTTATTTCGAATTTCATTTTGATGCGAATTTTTTGAGATTTTGAATTTTGATGCGAATACTATGAGTTTATTAAGCTGACATGATACAGTTAAGCATTATCTATAAAGACACAGGGCACAACTATAAACGTTAAAAATGATGAAAAAATCTCCCTTGGAGATTTCATATTCATTTAATTTAGAAATTGACACTTTTTCTGAAATTCCTTTTCCACATCCGTACTACAATATTCTTGGAACACTTTAAATCTATAGCTTACCATCAATATTTCGGAAAAATTTGTGAGAAATGCACTCACGCCACCACTAACTTAATCAGTTTGCAAAAAAAGACTTAGCCTATTCGCCAGTATATTTCCTAAGATCCTCATCGAGAGCGGTTTTAAGTCTTTACTTTATAGTCACTCCATATAATTTATACGCTGAAAGTGCCTTCATTACGTTGGAAGTACCATGATACTTGATTACAATATAGCTAGTACAGTATCTAAACTTCAATATGAGGAATTTTAAGCGGAAAGAAGTTTGTTGTTGTTTCAAAAAAAGATCGGGTATAATTGATTTAGTAAGAGCACTTATATTTAAAAATAAATAAACCACGTTCCACAAAATATGAAACGTGCTTTTTGGGGCTACCAATATTTGTAAGACATTACTGTTTGGAAGAATATAATCACACATATTATATATATCTATATATTCATCATATAAATGAGCCCTAATATAAAGTAAATTTTTGCTTGTCTCTAGTATTCTAAAAATTTTTTAGAGAAGCTCCTAAATCAATGTTTAAATTATTTTTTGCAATATGAATAGAAGTACAACGAAGAAGCTGAAATATTTAAAATTTCCATTTTCAACTTGTAATCATGATCATTTGAAAGATTCAAACAATTTGATAACTCATGGTTTAAACCTTACTATTCAATTAGGTATATTAAATTTGGATGATTTCGAATTGGCAAATAATGGGAAAGACAACATCTTAACTAAAGAAACTAAATCTAAGACTTCAATTTGCAGCAATCGGGAATATTTACATAATGAAGAATCATCAGAAGATGATTATGAAACAGATGATGAGGAAAGTTTAATGGATTATGAACATGAACCACCGAGTCCTATATTAATTCCTACAGATTTACCAAAATCATCGTTAAGGAGGGGTAGTTTAACAAGAAGAATTTCTGAAGATGCAGGATACTGTGCATCTTTAAGTATATGTCATAACAAAATTGAAAATATGATCAATGAATATTTCCCGAGAGATGTAGTAAATGATGAAAAAACATATATTGAAATTAAAAATTATATTATTAATTCAATTATTCAAAATGAAAAAAATATTGATAAATTTTTAGGTAAAATTATAAATCATAAATTTAAAAATGAATTATCAGATATTATAAGATCAATATTTATTGAAAAATATGTTGAAATAAAATTAGAAAATTTAATTGATTTTTTTTATAATTTTTTAAATTTAAATCAAATAATGTTTAAAAAATTTGAAACTTTACAAAATCCAAATCTTTATGATAAATATTATAAAATTTGGAAATTAGATAAAAACGATTTTAAATTTTATGAAGAAGAATACTTTTTGGAATATTTTCATAATTCTGGTAAATCAATTACTACAATTGAACATATAATGTTACAAAATGGATTTTTAATAAATTATAGAAGATTTGTTCAATATTTTACAAAAGATTTTCCAAATTATTATGATGATGAAGAAATAGAGGATGATGAAGAAGAAAAAGAAGAAACAAAACACAAACAATCAAATTATACATATACACTGCTTTCAAACTATGATGCATTATCAAGAAATAATAGTATTGATTCAAATTTACTGTTAGATTCATTAACTTATACTCCAAAATGTTTAAGATTCAATGAAGAAATTAATGTTATAAATATTAATAGGTATTTACCTGTTGATCAAGTATTATATGAAAAATTTTTAAAAAGTTATAACCAAAATAGTTGAATGTTATTTAAAAATTGATGAAATTGTCTTTAGTTCTATATTTACATGCTGGCATTTATATAAAAGTTTCCACTACATAAGTAATACATAATTGTTGCAAAATTTTTAACATTATCTAAGCTCTTTCGTTAACAGTTCGCCAATTGAACTGCGGAACAATTACCATCCGGAAGAAAATTATGAGGTAGACTTATTTTTCTCTCCCTCTTGAAGAACTAGAAACATTTAATGAAATTAGATCCATTTTGATGAACTAATCATGTAAGATCACCTACTAATCGCATTGGTAGCTACAAATTTATCAAAATTACAAACTCCGAAAAAGGTAAGTTTGAGAATTATCAATTGTACGTTTGATTTAAATAAACACTATTAGTATTAGTTATGACTAGTGGTAAGGACCTCATTTAAACAACTAGTGCCATTTTATTTGAATTAAGATAACATTTGGGTCCTTCAATATTTCAATAATAATAGTTAAAATTTGGAGGAACACTAGCAAAATTATCATTACAGATATCGAAACTATAGGGCTAAAACAATAACATATCTTAAAGACAAATATATCACACACAGTCACTAATACTTTATGTTCCTGACACCAACAAGCTCAGACCATTCAAACGGGTCTGCCAGGATAAATGAATCTGATTCCAATCAAGAGCATAAACCACCAGCAAAGAAAAAGAAAAGGTCACTAGGGACATTTCCGTGTCAACATTGTAACAAAGTATTCAGCAGATCCGATCATTTGGCAAGGCATAATTTGAATCATGAGCCAAAGGAAGTGTATGTTTGTGATTTCCAAATCATCATTAACGGAGAATCAACTAAATGTGGTAAAACATTTGTAAGGAAAGATTTGAAAGAAAGGCATATTAAAAGGCATTATGAAATTATCGAATCAGAAACAAATGGAGGCACAAAGAGTAGTCCAACTCCAAATAAGGGGAAGAGGATACAATCAAACTCAGTCAATGGAAAAAACTCGGAATATAATCAATTACAACCTCCTTATTTGAATTCGCCCCACAACATATTCAATCATCCTCAACATCAACAAGTATATTATCCAAATCAACAGAATTTCTCAAATTTTCCTAATACAAACCTTCCATCTCATGCTGCAATTTTATCGCCATACAATAATCAAAATTATGGTTCAGGTTCTTCAAACGGGTCCTCACCAAAATATCCCACGACAACTCAGGTTGCTGCATCTTCAAATCAAACTGATTTATCATCATTGTTCAAGACCTATGGTACAACTCTTCCACAGAGTGATATAATAACTTGGCTTTTTAATGATAACTATACAGCACAACAATCATCTAATTACAATAAAGCAGCACCAATACCATCTACGATCACTCAATCAGGACCAAATTCAATACCAAGTTTACAAACTTCTCAACAAATTCCACAAATTTCATCTCCTTCTGGGGGCTCTGACATCTCACCCGCAACTCACAATTTTAATAATAATCTACATTCAAATGCACGTCAAATCAACGATCATTCATTTACAACAGGCACTGAGCTAGATGCGAATGTTTTCCTGCAAGAAGTTAACCCTTTAGATGATTTATTCTTTACAAACTATCAATCATTTACCATAAACGGACGACAACCATATGCTCATAATGATGACACTCTACCGAATAGTCAATATCTAGCATTAACTACAACTACATCCAACTCACCTACAACAACAATGGAGTCTAATGGCGAATCTAATGCTATTGTCTCGGATGTAACCACATCAGAGGAAAGTAATTTTGTTTATCATTCAGAATTTATTAATATTGAAACCAATTTAAACGTTTTTATAGATACAACTTTAGTCAATGTCATGTTGAATCAAATTAACATAAAGAGCTCCGACTTACCAGAAAATGGTCATAACATAGAAAATAAATTCTCATATTACCTTAGTCTGTACTGGAAACATTTTCATCCAGAATTTCCCATATTGCATAAACCTTCATTTTGTACCAAAAGTACACACCCATTATTACTTTTATCCATGATTGTTGTTGGCTCCCAATACAGTTTTCCAGAAAATGCTCGGCAGCAGGCTTTGCTACATCATAAGTCATATGAATTTAAATTGAGCTCACAATTAGCTAAACCATTGAGATTCGCCTTATTTATGAACGAGGATTTTAAGTCACCAGTAAAGGTTTGGATATTGCAGTCATTAAATATGTTAGAATGGGTGGAAAAGAACTTTTTATCAAGAAGAATGCATGAAAGAGCTCATCTACACCATGGTACGACAGTGCAACTATTAAGAAGAAGTCCCATCATGGGTGGAAATCCTGCAACAATGCAGAATAGAAATGCTAGTAACTCTTCGAGTGCCGGGGAAGAGAGTGATGCAAATGAAATCGATGACGAGAACAAAAACACTTCTACTGATGAGCTTGATCATGATTTATTCAATCAGTGGTTAGAATCTGAATCAATTAAAAGAGCAACATTTATGACTTTTTATTTGGACATAATTGATTACATTAAATTCAGACACAATCCCCAGATTATGTTTTATCAACTACAATTGTTAAATTTGCCATGTAATGATGAACACCTTTGGGAATCGAAAGACATAAACGGATCATTCAAAAGACTAGTCAAAAAGCAAAAAAAATTACAAGATACTGCTAATCGTAAAAAGTCTAAATCTGATAGCTTTTTAACTGTTTTGAAGAAGTTGATTAGACAAGATAAAACGTTGAACATAAAATCATCTTCACCATTCACTCAAAAAATAATGTTGGCTGGTCTAACATCTTTGATGCATCAAATGCAATTAGTTGAGCTACAAAACAATTCCTCTTTAATTGCAACTAGCTCAAATTCGATTGGTCAAAGTCGAATTTGGAAAGATATTCTTACTCGAGCTTTTGATCATTGGAATTTTGAAGTAATGCAAGTGAAGGACAAGTCACATCAATCAAATGGTATTTTATCAATATACAGTATACCACATAAAAAAGTTTCATTACCTATATTTTATTTAACTCAAATTATAGGCTTATCTGAAATCAATCATTATGATATTGCAATATTCGGAGGATCACCAGCGAATCAAAGTGTGAGTGCAACCATGAAAGATCATTATATAGTTCAAAGAAAAATGAACAAACTATGGTCGTCAATTAGAAATAATCAAAATAATTTTAGAAGTATAATTTATTGTTATATATTCCTATGGCAACTAATTTTAGATGAAAATGGTAATTCATTGGAATGGGAGCCCAACAAAGATTACTACGATAGTTCCAACGCAGTCAGTATTGCCACATTAATATTATGGAGTTATTGCTTCACAATGTGTGGATTGGAAAGTGGGAGACATCAAGAAATTGAGAATGATAAGTTTACTGGTTATGACAGATTGATTCAATTAAGTGCTGAAGAAGGTCATAAATATTTAAACCGAATTAAGCAAGAATTTTTGACAAACTTGAGAAAATTGAATTTGCATAAAGAATTTGATATTGATTCGTATCATGGCACAAAACATCATGAAATCATCAATAAATATTGCGAGCTTTTACCATCTATATCAAACAAACAAAACATATCTGGTCTTTGTTTTTGGATAGGGACAAAATTAATGTCAAGTCAATGGGAAGTGATACGAGAAAATGCTAAGCTCATACTAAATTGTGGATTAAGGTCAATCGGTAAGAAGACTATTTTATGCTTTGATCTATTTGATAATGATTTTACTTAATAAATAATCATCATGATAAAAAAAATAAAAACTAGATAATTTGTTGAACTAAAATTTAAACTATACCAATAATACCGCATTTACACATCCATCTCTATCTGGTTCATTCGTTATTTGAGCGTATTTTCCCCAAACAACTTTACCACCAGCCGTAACTAAACCCAATTCAGAAACATTTACTTCTATTATTGTACCTTTTGTTAAAACACCTAATTGAGTATACATGGGTGATTGAGGGTTTTTCTTAACACCCAAAATTGGTAAAAACACAGTGACTCCTAATTCAGGATGTGTAACATTTGCTTTCTTCTGTCTCAAAGCTGCTGGACGTATAATTCTTTCCATTTTTACAGGTCTTCGAGTAAAGCCTTCTCCAACAAATGTATGTTTTGTTATCATTCTTTTCCAACTCTTATTTTTTTGTTTTCCTGTTTTTATGACTTTGAACATTTCTTCTTCTGATATACCCCTCACTTTTGGTAATGGTACGGAGAACTTATCTGCTTTTTCCAATCTCTTTTGCTTTATACTTGATGATAAAGCTTTTGCTGTATTATTAGTTTGACGATCCAAAAGATATGTTGGCAATGCTTCTCCTTCATCTTCTTTGGGGGTCGATGGACCTTTAACTTTACTTTCTTGATGAGCCTTGATCTTTTTCTTCATAGATACTTTCTCACTATATCTCTTCTTAGCAAATTGTTTCGCTCTCCATCCTTTCAAATTTTGAGCATCTTTAGCAACTTTATGACCTTCTCTAGCTATTCTTTTTCTTTTTCTTTCCTCATGATCGAATCTTCTACCATGTTGTTTAATATGTTGCTCTATATATTCGTTTTGAGGCATTTTTGAATCTGTTGAAAATGAATGATAAAAAAGATGTTGTTTATTGATTAATAATTTTCTAATCTCATCTTATCGTTAACGAAATTTGCAACACAAAAATAATCAACTACATACTGTAGAGTTTAAATTTAACTCAAACTTATTCACGAGAAGCATTGCAAAAGATAAGCTCAATCACCCCAACTAAGATGTCAAATATAGACGGTATTTTAAATTCTATTATCACCTCAACTAGATCGTCCAACCTTGCAGTACAAGATCTTATCAAGCAGGAATCTACCACAGAAGTACCAGACTTTATAAAATCCTTACAACAAAAAAGTAATTCCACATCTGAACTTGAAGGTATTTCATTACTTTCATTAAAAAATCAATCATTAGCATCTTACATTAATAACTTGGCTTTAATAGTACTAGGAAATTTAAACAAACTTGATCACGATGATTCTGATAGTCTAAAAGACGAGGCAATAAATCGATCTATAGTGCAAAGAGTTACCCTTGAAAAAGGTGTAAAACCTTTAGAGAAGAAACTTAATTATCAAATAGAAAATTTATTGAAGGCATACAATAAAGAATGTGAATCAATCCAGCGAAAACAAGAGAATGCTGAAGAAGATGGCGAAAAAGATAATAATCAAGAAGCTGACTTAGAGGTTGATTCAGAGGACGAAGAAGATGAATTAGCATTTAGACCAGACGCCACTGCATTAGCAAAACTAGCTCCAAATTCATCGAAAGATTCCAATACAAACCTTTCAGGGAAATATAAACCTCCTAAAATTTCGGCTATTGCTCCACCATCATCAAATAAAGATTCCACAGAAAAGAGTGAAAAGAATCAAAAATTACAAAGTATGGAAGAATATTTACAAGAGCAAAGTGAGATCCCAATGGCTGAAGCTAGCATTGGTTCAACTATTGTTGGACACGGTAGAGGTGGTGTTAAAACTCAACATGATCGTAAGAAAGAGCAAGAAATTCAAAACTATGAGGAAAGTAATTTTACAAGATTACCTACCACTCAAACCAAGAAAAATTTCAAACAAAAACAAAGAGATTTGGCTAATCAATTTGCCGGTGAAGATTGGAGTATGTTTAATGGAAATAATGATAAAAACTTAAGTTCAAGTACTTCTAGAAAAAGAAAAGCTAAAACGTCATGGGATAGAGCTAAAAAGAATAGGTTTTAACTCAAGCATTTTTTAATACACGAATGCAATTTTGTATATAAAATTTGACTCTAAAATATTTCGTAAGCTTTTAACTATACATGGAATGAAGGCTTCACCCCATCATTAATTTTTTTCAACAAACAAAATTAACGTATGATTAATTGAATGAAACCAATGAACAATTGCATCCCAGGTTTGTTTAAGTATTTGCGCAGCTCAACAACTTGTCAGTTGAGTCAATTTGTTGTGAATAAATTAGGAAAAATCTTTAACCAAACGCAATTTGATTGATATTTGATTGAAAAAATCAAGAATAATATGAGTTGCATAAAGACCAATTTGATTCAAGCTTAAGTAAATTTACAGTTTTATTCCGAAAATTCGTAGTAGAGTGTACTAGTAGTGTCACCTTTTTTGAATTAGTGCTTCCATTGACAACTATCTTCAATTTATTTTGTTGAGTGAGACCAAAAAAGTGTAATAAGCCTTGAAGAAAGAAGAAAAAGCAGTTATTTAATTGTTACTGAAAATTGCAAAAACAGTTCTTCAATTATAATTAGATCAAACTTCACCAAGGCTCATAATCTTTTTAAATCAAAAAAAAAAGTATCAGATATGGTGATTTTAAGAGGTTGTTAATTAATGATTAGAGAAAGAAAGACAATAGCAAGGATATTAACCAACATTTTGATAAATTATACTTAGGAAAGTACTTTTGTGGTTTTTCACATTTGTTTAATCTCATATAATGAAAGTAACTATCTCAAATCAATGAAATGAAAAAGTTTTTCATTTTAGCATACTTCACGTCAAACCGCTGTTACACGAATTTCTGAGATAAGATATTCAGAAATAAAACTTTGAGTATAGTCTTTTTGTTAAAAGTCGAGTCCAGAGGAAAGACCTATTGGCATGGTCTACAACTGATATAAATTTTAATGAAGATCATTTCGTAAATCAACTCTTAAAACAATACGAAGCTATTATAATAAAGTTTGAATCTCGTAAAATTATTTAAGTTATAATTACGTGCATGGAGAAAAATAATAAAAAAAAAAAATATAAATCAATGAATAAAAAGAAAACTAGATACAAAAATTAAATCACAATTTTATTAGTAACTTCAAGTTACAACCACCTATCTTATTGAGTGTACTTTATGGAAATTAAGTAACTTAGCCTAATGATTGTTGTTTGCTAAAAATTTCATCAAATTCGAAAGGAGTATTACTATGTGTATCACTTTTTTGTGATACAATCAATTTAATTTATTCATGCCACTCATCTTCAATTCATCATTTGCAAACATCAATTCAATTTACAAGATGAACTACGTCATAAAGTGGATAAAATTTCTGGGATGAAGGCAAAAAGAAATGCATAACTCCAATTAAAAATTGAAATAGGAGGTTCAAATTGGAATATAAATAGTGTTCCAATTTCTCTGATAATCTTCAATAGAAATAAAATATCAATCAAGAATACAATTTAATAAACACGAAAAGGAATGAAATACTCAATTATTGCTTTAACTGCTACAGTTTTAACTTTTGTCACAGCTGCTCCATTCAAATTCAGAAGAGATACCAATGATTCTGCTATTACCACTGATGCTTCCACTCCTCTTCCGGTACCATCAACTCCACTTGAAACTGGCGCCCCTTTAGCTACAGAAGGTTCAAATGATGAGAGTGGACCAACAGAAACAGCTTCTCCTACTGAAACCACAAATGATAGTGAAACTACGACGACTTCAAGCGTCAGCTTATTAAATGGAATTGATTGTATTAATGATATTGACAGTCTTTATCCCTACAGTTACTTTTTATGTGATAAATATTACACTCCATGGACTGATTCTCCAGAAACAACTTCATTTGATTGGACTAACGATTACGCTGGGGCTATACTCGATGGTCCAAGTGGATCTATACATACTACCATTAATTTACGTAAGGACTATTTACCATGGTATCCAATTTGGGTAACTCGTATAGGAGCAAACACAATGAAGCCAACAGTAATTCACTTTGGAAGAGTGACTAAAAAAGATGAGGAACATATACCAGAATATATTGAAGCTGTTCCTACTCCATTAGTTTGATCTGGAAGATTTTCTCACATCAATTATGTTACCTGTTTAAAATTTTTTATATCTTTTTAAGTATTTATTGCATAGCTTTATGTTTAATATATATTTGCAGCCAAAATGATTTTATCTCAACGTGCAACTGGTTTTATCCATTCATTTATCCTTCTTTCGCAATCCGATATAAGTCAAAATTACATAGTTGGCCTTTTGAGATCAAGTCGATATATAATCGTGACCAGCAGGATGAATTTCCAAAGATAATGATACCTATTTCTGACCTTTAAAGACGCGCGACTGTTGCAATTTTTGGCTGCTCAATCTTTTTTTCGACAATCTTATTCACCACACTTTTTTTTAAACTGAATTATCCATAAGCATCATAAAATTAAGGTCAATCTACTTCACATTATACAATTAACAAAATTGAATTAAGGTTATACGAATGATGAAACTTATCAGCTCAATTGCTTTACTTTTGGCAGCATTATTTTACTTCATTGGCCAAACTAATTCTTCAAAAGAACTTACCAAATTGCCACCAATCACTCATGAAGTTTATTTCGATATCGAAGAAGAAGGAACTCCAATTGGACGTATAACTTTTGGATTATTCGGTACAGTGGTTCCAAAAACGGTTGAAAATTTTAGAGCATTATCAACTGGTGAAAAAGGATTTGGATATCAAGATTCTATCTTCCATAGAGTTATCAAAGACTTTATGTTACAAGGAGGTGATTTTACTCATGGAACAGGTGTTGGTGGTAAACTGATTTACGGGAATAAATTTGCTGATGAAAATTTTGATTTGAAACATGATAGACCAGGATTATTGTCAATGGCTAATGCTGGACGTGATACAAATGGATCTCAATTCTTTATTACTACAGTCCCTACTTCATGGTTAAATGGTAAGCATGTTGTTTTTGGTGTAGTTACTGATGGTTTTGATGTTGTTCAAAAAATCGAAAATGCAAAAACAAGTCGTGGTGATCGTCCAGTGAAAGAAGTAAAGATTGTGAAATCGGGTGAAAATAAGATCGAAACAGAAAAAGATGAGCTTTAAACCAAAAAAGTAAGAGAAATTTGTATATTTGAGATCTGAATTAATGCATTTTTTAACTATTTGTGGTTGAAAAAATATTTTATTTAATTACTATGTGTTTGTCTTAAGATTTAAAAATTCCACCGTGCTGCCTTTCCCATATAATGGAATGTCATCTAAGTAGAATTCATTAGAACTTTCGTTTGTGATCTCATCTAGTAGGGAATTAAATGCACCACTTGATATAGTATTTGTCGTAAATTGTGGAGCATTTGTAGGTGTATTAGAAGGTTGTCCAATAGCTGGACTATCCGTTATTGAAATTGGAGTATCTGTCGTGATAGGTAAATTATCTAAAGTTGTATTAGTTTGCTTCAGGGAATGAACTTGATTTTGAGCTCTATTTTTTTCATGCAATGAATTATTAAATGAATGGCCACCATCAGATATATGATAACTTGTCATTTTAGATAAAGTTTTCATTGATTGTTTGACTGATAAAATATTTGCTAATAGCCTTCCAGATAAAACATCATATATTTTGGGAGCTTGATAGACATTAGCACCAATTATGTAATAATCTTGCAAGGTGAATGTATGTTGTTGATTTAATCTTTTCTGTTTTCTTATGATCCAAAAGTCAGGTTCTCTAACAAATGCTATCACAAATTCGACTCCTGTCATTTCTGATAATCTTGATTGAAAATATTGATGAAAATTCATGTGAACCGGTAATTGAATTTGTTGATATTGGAATTGCATCATTAGTACTTGATTATTGGAAGTACGATCATAAAATGGCGAAAGGGCAAAATATTCCAAAACATTACCTGTATTTAACCCTCTTTCTTGAATAAATTCAGGTGATTTCCATTGTATTTCATCTAATTTTTCCATCTTGAGTTTTTATTTGTAAAGTTTTTTATAACACTATGTTATTTTGGGACAAAATCTGATCTTTCAATTCATCACGATGAGTTCTTTCGACGTCTCAATTGAGTATAATTCTAATTTATAACGTGACAATAAGATCTTGATTCTTGAACAAATTATTCACGTTAAGCACTTAATCAACCCTTTGCATTTTTTGTTTTTCCTAACAATCTCTGTCGATTTATTTTTATAAAGATTGTGTCAAAAAATACCTTAGTAGACTTTAGGTTTTATAGCAAAGACTATTTACAACAAGAAAAAGTAAATATTAAACAAGAACAATCAAGAAATGTCAGTCAAGGATATATATTTCTTCAAATACATAGTAAATAATCAAGTATTTTTCAAATCCAAATTCACTTATGCATTAGTCAATCTAAAACCTTTAGTGCCAGGACATGTTTTAGTAGTGCCATTAAGGACATCAGTACTAAGATTTGGTGATTTAACACCAGATGAATCAATTGATTATATGAATACTTTACAATTGATTCATAAATTCATTTCAAAAATTTATAAAGCAGATTCATTAAATATTGCTATTCAGGATGGCCCAGAATCAGGTCAGCTGATACCTCATTTGCATACTCATATAATACCAAGGTATAAAAAAGATGGGTTTGGAGATTCAATATATAATAAATTAGAAAAAGATGATTTAGAAACATATTATAATGAGTTTGAAAAGAGGAAATTGTCTTTTTTGAATAAAGTTGAAAATACAAAAAGTGAATTGGATCAAAATGATAATTTTAGAAATGAAAGAACAAAAGAAGAGATGGAGACAGAAGCTGAATATTTGAAAGAAACAATTGAAAAGTTTATTGCTAATTCAGACAATAGATTGTGAAACCATTTTTTAGATATTCAAGAACTTAAATTATTTATCAAACTCGTAAGAGGTATCGATTGGTATATTCTTTGCCAGGAATTAGACTTCAATTCGTTGTTAAGTTCAGTTAGGATGATTTAAAATCAACTGAAAGGATCACAAGTGTAACACTCATCGATTCGTGCTATTAATCTTGTCTGTACTAAGACTTTTTGCATAAGCTCTATTCGTAGTGTCATGATAATTATCAATACTAGGTAGATTCAGTATATATACTATTGCAATGCAATTGAAGATTTCATTCAAATTATAAATGCAATTTGTATTCCTATAGATATATTTGTAAATCAATTACTTTTAACTCCTAATTAATAAATTATTATTATTATTAAATATTAATGAAAGTTCGAGAATCATATTATAATTTGACCAACAAAATTGGAACATCCAATTGAAAACTGAAACCTCTTGGTCACAAGCTTCTCTTTCTGGTTGTTACAGTTTAGTCAATTGAGGTCATTCGTTGGAAGTAATTTGTCATCGTAATGATACTGATGATTAAGTCTGTACACATTTTCATAAGCATTTTAATTAACTTCAACGCTTGTGTGTACGACATTCGGGTCAATTACTTTGGTAGCACTTCTAGAATCATAGAAATAAAAATTAAATTATTAATGTGTTAATTATGCATAATAAATATTATAATAAAGAAAATATAAAAGGAATTGATCTGCCCCCTCCTCCACAGAATTATTCGTTTTCAAACTTTTCTTTCTTTCCTTTCTTTCCTTTCTTTCCTTTCTTCTTACAAATAAATTCAGCTCAATTGATAAATTTATATAAAACTAATACAGATAAAATGGCTCCACAAATTCAAAAACCAGCTCCATCATTCACCAAGACTGCTGTTGTCGATGGTACTTTCGAAGAAATTTCATTAGAACAATATAAAGGTAAATGGGTACTTTTAGCATTTTTCCCATTAGCTTGGACTTTTGTTTGTCCAACTGAAATTATTGCTTATTCAGATGCTTTTAAAAAATTTGCTGATAAAGATACAGAAGTATTATTTGCTTCAACTGATTCAGAATATACATTATTAGCTTGGAATAATGCTGCTAGAAAAGATGGTGGATTAGGTAAATTAAACATTCCATTAATTGCTGATACCAATCATTCATTATCAAAAGACTATGGTGTTTTACTTGAAGATGATGGTGTTGCTTTAAGAGGTATTTTCTTAATTGATCCAAAAGGAATTTTAAGACAAATTACCATTAATGATTTACCAGTAGGAAGATCAGTCGATGAATCATTAAGATTAATCGAGGCTTTCCAATTTGTTGAAAAATACGGTGAAGTTTGTCCTGCTAATTGGCAACCTGGTTCAGAAACCATCAAAGCTACTCCAAAAGATTCAAAAGACTATTTTTCAAAAGTTAACAAAGAATAAGAGTTTATAAATATCTAATGAATTGAATAATTTGATATACTAATACGATGATTGTCTAATTTGGTGTTTCTTCTCTGTATTTGTCTCACTTCCGTTAATTGAATGTGGAACAATTAAAATTGGGTTTCAGAAAATTATAAGGTTAAGAACATTGTGGCAAAAGTAATTTAAACTTCACTCTACTTACTTAAATTAAAACTTATTTGACATATTTTACAGTATCCAATTTGCTTTTAAACTGCAATTGAGCTTGTTTACAATTTAAGGTGTCTTAAGAAAATTCATATTCTACAATTAAAACACGTTGAACCAATCACTTTTTAAAATTATGAAAAACAATAAAATTTGAAAAAAAATAAAAAAGCCGACGTCCGATTTGCCACAGTTTTCTTACTATGTAATTTTTATCTATCCCATGCGACATTTTCCAGATCATGAGAAAGATGACATTTTTTATAGTGGAAATACCATTATTAATAATATTTGATTACAAAACATAAAATGATTCCAGATTCTCAGAATAAATAACATAATAATAATTTATCAAAATCTCAATTCGAAATATCAATAGATCAGTCTTTGCTTATAAACTTATGCTTATATTAAGGCACAATTAAATAACGGGTTTAAGTTAATCTTTCCAAAAACTCTACTAAACTTACATTTTATATTATATAGATAAATTGTCTATTACTTTTGTTAATATACATAAATAAGAACAATTATACATTAATGGAAACGAAAAAATTTGAAAGCTTTAAATAAATAACAATATAAATAAAATCTTGATTGATTGTAGATTTTTGAAATAACGTGATGAAATGAAACGAATTGGAAAATATTAAATTGTTGAGCTAAACTATGATATCAAAATTAGTTAAAACTGAAACTAAGTATAAGCATAAAAATACCAAAGTACCATTTAGATATTTTTAATTTATTACTTGAACCTTCGTAAGTGTTAATTGGTTCAATTGTTGAAGTTGGCATAGATGATGTAGTTGGCATGCTCATTGAATTACTATCTGATGGTCTAGCCATAATGGTATTTGAAGATTGATTTGAGTTAACTCTAGCAGCAGCATTAGTTGTTGAAGATGGAGATTGTAAAGTTGTCATTGTATTTGAATCACCAGGGCCAGATTCATTTGTTGCATTTGATCCAACATGAGAAGATGATTGCGTTCCTATCGAATCCACACTACTTGAACTTTCTTGAGGGTGCAATTGATTATCATTTTCAGGTTCATCATTAGTACCTTGTGTATTTTTTGGACCATTATATTCTGTTGGAGTTGAATTAGAATCATTATCATTATTTGAATTTAGTGTTTTTGTAGGTTCAACAACTTCAGTACTTTCATTGGGTTGAGCAATTTGAGATGGTGATATTGATGATGCTGATGAAGTTGATGATGTTGATGATGTTGATGAAGTTGATGATGTTGTTGATGATGCTGATTCCCCGGGATTACTTTCAGATATAGTTGGTGAGATGTTTTGGTCGGAATTGTTTGTCAAAAAATTACCAGCAATTGATGAGCTCGAAGCAGTCACAGCTGCACTTGACGAAATAGTCGAACGATCAGATTCGGAATCACTTATAGCAGCATCACTTTGAACCACCGACAATTCTGATGATAATGCACTATTGATTGCAATTGAGTTGACTGGTTCACCTGAATTAAAACTTGTTGGAAATCTAGTGATTGTGGCACTAGTTTTTAAATTTGAAGTAGCTATTGATGATGTTGATGTAATCATTGGGATTATAGTCTCATCTGTACTGACAAAATTTAAACTTCTAGCAGTTGTTGAACTAAATACTCCAGATTCACTTTCTGTAGAATAAGACATAGTTGAAACCGGCACACTAGTATTGCCATATGGACCATAAGATGATATGACTGTTGAGGTGGTGGATGAAGTTAAAGGTGGTAATTGTATAGTTGAGAAGGTCGATGCGGTTGATTCAAGACTGGATTCAGGTGATGACAATGATGATGACAAAGATAATGATGTTGATGATGACAAAGATAATGATGTTGATGATGATAATGGTATTGATGATGATAAAGATGATGATGATGATGATAATAATAATGATGATGATGGTGATAATAATAATGATGATGATGGTGATGAAGTTGACGATGAAGATGATAATGATGATGATGTTGATAACTCGATTTCTTTTGTGTTACTTATACTGAATGAAGTAGGAACAGCATCAACAGCAGATCTGTAGCTTTTTGAAGAACTTGAACTCATTGGTGATATATATAATGTTGAAGCAGCTTCATTGGTTGAACTATAATTTTCTATATCACTTGAACTTGATGGTTTTTCATTTATCGTAGATTCAGCATCAACAGCAGATCTGTAACTTTTGGAAGAACTTGAACTCAATGATAATGTATAAGTTGATGAGCCAGCGTCATTAATTGAACTATTGCTTTCTATATCACTTAAACTTGAACTCAATGGTAGTACATATGTAGATGAAATTTCATTAGTTGAACTATAATTTTTTACGTCACTTGAACTTGTTGGATTTTCAAATAATGTAGACTCAGCATCAACAGCAGAATTGTAACTTTCTGAAGAGCTTGAACTTGATGGTAATACATATGTCGATGAACTAATGCTTTCCATATCGCTTGAGCTTGCACTTGATGGTAGAATATATGTTGTTGAATCAGCTTCACTAGTTGAACTATAACTTTCGATATCACTTGAACTCGTTAAATTTTCAAATAATGTAGACTCAGCATCAACAGCAGATCTGTAACTTTCCGAAGAACTTGAACTTGATGGTAATACATATGTCGATGAACTAATGCTTTCCATATCACTTGAGCTTGCACTTGATGGTAGAATATATGTTGTTGAATCAGCTTCACTAGTTAAACTATAACTTTCTATATCACTTGAACTTGATGGATTTTCAAATATTGTAGACTCAGCATCAACAGCAGATCTATAGCTTTCTGTAGAACTAGAACTTAATGGTAATATATATGTTGATGAATCAGCTTCACTAGTTGAACCATAACTTTCCATACCACTTGAGCTTGAACTTAATGTTGATATATATGATGTTGAATCAGCTTCACTAGTTGAGCTATAACTCTCTATATCACTTAAGCTTGATGGATTTTCAAATATTGTAGACTCAGCATCAACAGCAGATCTATAGCTTTCCGAAGAACTTGAACTTGATGGTAATATATATGTTGTTGGATCAGCTTCACTAGTTGAACTATAACTTTCTATATCACTTGAGCTTGAACTTGATGGTAATATATATGATGTTGAATCAGCTTCACTAGTAGAGCTATAACTCTCTATATCACTTGAGCTTGATGGATTATCATATAATGTAGATTCAGCATCAACAGCAGATCTGTAACTTTCCGAAGAACTTGAACTTGATGGTAATATATATGATGTTGAATCAGCTTCACTAGTTGAACTATAACTTTCTATTTCACTCGAGCTTGATGGATTTTCAAATATTGTAGACTCAGCATCAACAGCAGATCTATAACTTTCTGTAGAACTAGAACTCAATGGTAATATATATGTTGATGAATCAGCTTCACCAGTTGAACTATAACTTTCCATACTTTTTGAGCTTGAACTTAATGGTAATATATATGATGTTGAATCAGCTTCACTAGTTAAACTATGACTTTCTATATCACTTGAACTTGATGGAATTTCAAATACTGTAGACTCAGCATCAACAGCAGATCTATAACTTTCCATATCACTTGAACTTAATGGTAATACATTATTTGATGAACTAGCTTCATTAGTTAAACTATAATCTGGATCAATTGATGGTATCGAATTATAACTTGGGGTAAAATATGAGGATTCAATTGAAGATGATTCCAATGGTGATTCGAGATAAGTGGATTCAGCTGATGAAGGTGTAAAATAAGTAATTGATGAAGTTTCAAATGATGATGACTCGGAATTTGATTCTGTGAATAATGAATTTTCGTTTGATGATGGTGTTACAAATGAAGGTGAACTGAGACTCCAGGATTCTGATGAGTAAGTTTGTGATGGTAAGTGCACTATGACTGTATCTGTCCCACCAAAATTGTCTGTTGCAGTATCAGTAAATGTTTCCAGACCTAAGTAAAGTTGAGTTATTGACGTGGTTGGGTTGGAAGGGTAATTAACAATAACAGTATCATTTCCTCCATAATTATTTGTAGCAGTTGATGTAAAAATAGTTGATCCTGAATAATATTGAGTAGTTGTGACAGTAGGATTAACAGGATAATTAACGATAACTGAATCATTTCCTCCAAAAATAGCGGTAGCAGTCGATGTAAAAATAGTTGATCCTGAATAATATTGAGTAGTTGTAATAGTTGGATTCGATGGAAAATTGACAATAACTGAATCTTGACCTCCAAATGTAGCAGTAGCAGTAGTTGTAAATATTGATGATCCTGAATAAAATTGAGTTTTAGTTGTAATTAGATTCGATGGATAATCAACAATGACGGTATCATTACCTCCAAAATTGGCAGTAACTGTTGATGTTGAGATTGTTGATCCAGAATAGAATTGTGTAGTTGT